CTCAAATTAGTAGTCCTCCTGCTTCAGCCTCCTGAGTACCTAGGATTCTATGAAGATAGAACTCACCACACCAGGCTCAAACTTCTTTTTCTTACATATCAACAGATAGGCACAGTTTTAAGATAAGTGCTTGGGCAAGCAGGCAGTCGTGAGTTCGATCTCCGGTACCAATAAAGAGGAAAAGGACAAAAAAAAAAAAAAAGTTCTTTGAAGAGCAGGGTGAGCTACAATGCCCTCAATTACGTATTTTTTATAGCCCAGTTTTCTGGGGCCCAGAGCAATAATCCTGGAGAGACGGGCACATGGCGTTGTGGCTGCTGTAACCCTTTTCAGTCACCTTGAAGAACTCAGCTAGACCCAGATGTGGTGGCTCGTGCCTGTCATCCGAGGACTTTGGGGGCTGAGGCAGGAGGATCACTATGAGTTCAAGGCCAGCCTGGGCTACACAGCAAGACTTTATTTCTTTATTTGTACAGGGAATCAAACTCAGCAAAACTTTATTTTTAAAAAGTTTTTTTAGGGGCTGGGTATTTAGCTCAGCGGCATAAGCGCATGGTCGTGAGTTTGATGCCCGGTACCAATAAAAAAAAAAAAGTTTTTAAAAAAAATACACTTTAGTCACCAAAGATGTTTTGCATCGCTGACAACCTTGCTAGGTATGGCGTGTGTGGGTGATAAAGCTCGGCCTTCCATTTCAACACACCTCTAAGCAGAGCTAAGCATTTGATCCACAATATTTATATAAACAGCTGACTGTGTTTATAGCTAAAATTTATGCTATTTAGTTATCATATGCTTTTCTTTGCAAGAGTTCCAAGTTTAAAAAAAGCCATTACATCAGCCTCTCCTCCCCTGAGATGGTCCCAGGTACTGTGGTATCTTCTGAAGACGCTAAAACGCAGAGGAATCACCTCTGAAGAACCTAAAAATCGACCAGCGAAATAAACAGAGTCGAGGTGGGGTGACCAAGCCCCAATAATGAATCATCATTGTTGATGGTACTGGAGGTTGATCGAAGGCCTTTCCAGTGAGCCACATCCCCAGCCCTTGCTTTATTTTGAGACAAGGTCTCAATTAGTTGTTAAATTGCCCTGGGCTTTAATTTGCAATCCTCCTGCCTCAGCCTCCCAGAACACTGGGATCACAGACATGCACTGTCACACCCAGCTTCATCTCTGTCTTTACTTCTGTCTCCGTCTTTCAGCACATGTACGCGCGCACACGCGCGCGCACACACACACACACACACACACACACACACACGCACACTGCAGAGAAGCTTAATGGATCAGCAGCTCTGGGGTCGTCAGCAGCAAGTGCTACCAGCTCTCTACCTTGCCTTTAGTGGCAATTTCTCCAACGCACTTAGCTTTCAACAAAGCAGCATAAATAATTGAAACCGCCATAAAAAGCGACGACACCGGATACAAAAGGCGGAAGATTTAGCGGCTGTCTGCAGAGCCAAGGGTTCTGCCACGGGTCCAGGTCCCCTGGGGTTTGGAGATGATGGGAACAAAGCCCCTCCCCCTGCGACTTTGTCCCCAGGGATTGGCTCCCGGAGGACACAGATATCCCAAGTGGGGCACGGTCGCTAGCGAGCAGTGTCCCCTGCCTGAGCTGCAGCCTTTCTGTCTGGGGACCGAGACTAACAGTCCTGGGGCTCCTGGGAGAGGTTGCCAAGTTGTCAGCCACATGGCCGTGCCCACGGCCACCCTGGAGAGGCCAGGAGTAGATAACAGACCAGAGGCAGAAGAGCTGAGAGGCTGAACAAAAGCTGTGCGTGGTGGCCCAGCAGTCAGGAGGCTGAGGCAGGAGGATTGCTGTGAGCTTGAGGCCAGCAAAAAGAAAAAAAAAGTGTCAAATAATGACAAAGGCGGTCACGAGGCCGGGGTCATCTGGATTCCGGCAGAGAAATAAAGGCTGCTTCAATATGGGGTACAGCTGTGGTGCTGGGGAACAGGAGGAGTCGTGGGGTCACAACCCAGATGGGAGTTAGCAAACGTGCTGCCAACATGTTTATAATCCCACCACTCTGGGAGGCTGAGGCGGGATGATCGATGATCGCAAATTTGAACTCAGCCTGGGCAACTTGATATATCTCAAAACAAAATTAAAAATCTCAACGCCAAAAAAAGACACAATAATAACAAAAATAAAGGATGTGTATGCTGGAAAAAAGAACCCAACTCGGAGGCATATTGAAGGGGAAGAGCCAGCTACTCTTTAGTAGCTCTTACATTTTGGGATATGAGTTCCTACTTTCTATCAGGAGTCAATTAAATAGTCAATTAAAAAGGAAAAATTGTGGCACAAATCGGTATCCCAGCATGTGGGAAGCTGAAGTAGGAAGATCATTGCAGCCTGGCTACAAAGCGAGTTCAAGACCAGCCTGAAATTCATAGCAAGATCTTGTCGCAAAAAGATTTTTAAAAAATAGGTAAAAACTCAGGTGTGGTGGTGTAGACCTATGAGCTCAACCCTTGAGAGGCTGAGGCAGGAAGATCACAGCAAGTCTGAGGCCATGTGGGCTACATAGTGAGATTCTGTCTCAAAAAAAAAAAAACAAAATACAAAAGAGAACAACAAAAAACCCGCCTACCGCTCTTGGGCTACACCCAGAGTAGAAACCAGAGGCGACCAAGTGGATGTGGTCTGTCTCTTCCCAGAGACTCGTGCTGAAATCTGCACTGGGAAGCTGGGGCCCAGCCAAGGGCGCGGTCCTGGGCGCACTGGGCTTGGCATGGCTGAGGGGCGGGGCGCTGGGCCCAAAGCTGCTCTTCCTGTTTGGTCTCTTGTCCTGTGTGTCCTCCTGCTGGGTGCTGTCCCCTGAAGCCGGGAGACACCAGACCCAGCCTCCGGGACCCCCCAGCCTCCAGGACCAAGGGCTAAGGAAATGTCTATTGTTTTTTTTTTTTTTTGCTTTTGTGTGCTGGTGTGGAGTCACACACTGAACAAGTGCTGTCACTGGACTACACCCTCGGGCCTTTTTTGTTTTTGAGACAGGGTGTCCTTAAATTGCCCAGGCTGTCCTGGAACTTGTGATCTCCTGCCTCAGCCTTCCAAGTAGCTGGGATTACACACTGCACCACATCTGGCTGAATCACTACTCTTTCTAAATCACGGGTCTCAGAAATTCTGTTACAGCAGTAGAATATGAATTCAGACCCAAAGGGGGCAGGACAGCCCACAGCATCGTGACTACTAAATACCGTGGAATCTTATGTTTTGTGCTTTTTTTTTGTCTTTTTCATTTTTATTGGTACCGGGGATCAAACTCACGACCGCCTGCTTGCAAGGCAGGTGCTTATGCCGCTGAGCTAAACCCCCAGCCCCGTTTTGTGCATTTTAAGTTAAAAAAAAAAAATCCATAAATAAAAATACAAGTGTTGGGGCTGGGGATTTAGCTCAGCGGCATAAGTGCCTTCCTTGCAAGTGTGCGGTCATGAGTTCGATCCCTAGTACCGATAAAAACGAAAAAGACAAAAAAAAAAAAAAAACTTAAAAAAAATACAAGTGTAACAATACTAAAATTTGGAATTTTTAGTTAAGAAGAGGCTGTAAGAGAGCCAGGCACAGTGCTACACTCCTGTAACCCCAGCACTCAGGAGGCTGAGGTGGGAGGATCCTTGCAAGTTGGAGACTAGCCTGGGCTACAAAGTGAGCTCAAGGCCATCCTGAACTGCATAGAAAGACCTGTCTCAAAGAGAGAGAGAGAGAGAGAGAGAGAGAGAGAGAGACAGAGAGAGAGAGAGAGACAGAGAGAGACAGAGAGAGAGACCACAACAAAGCTATAAGGCAGACAATAGTTTGGGAAAAGTCATTCATCATGTCAAAAACAAAAAGAGAAAAGAACTTCTATAAACCATCAGGAAAAAGGGGAGAAAAGCAATTACATGAAGGCAGACAATACCCACAAGGAGAGACTTGTGCTGTGGTCTACATTTGCTGTTGTTGCTGTTTTGAGACAGGGTCTAGCTGCCTAGCTCAGGCTGGCTCAGTGATCCTCCTGCCTCAGCCTCCCGAGCACTGCGAATTACACGTGTGCATCATCAGATTTCCTAAAATATCTGCAACAAGACCTCCCAGAGCTGCGGGTGGAGCTCCATGGGAGCGGGTGCTTAGCACAGCAAGGACCTGAGTTCCTTCCCCAGCCCTAAAATAAAACTCCTACCCTATTTTAGTGGTTCTGGGGATTGAACCCAAGGCTTTTGTATTGAGCTACATCCCTAGCCTTAAAAAAAGTTTTGTTTTGTTTTTTAAATTTTGAGACAGTATCTTGCTAAGTCCTGTGGTTTTTACCTTGGGCCACTGGGAACTCAAATCCCAAATCCACCGGGGCGCCAGCACAGAGCCTGGCCGTGCAGGCACTGAACCAGCTCAGTACAAAGCAGACCCAGTTACCGGGACCATCTGCAGCGGGGGCTGGGAGCGGCTCCACCCTTTTCTTCTCCGATGCTCACTTATATTGCTAAAACTTGTAATGAATACTGCACGTCGTGCTTTTGGGAAAAATGTGTCCCAGAGACATGTGGACCCAGAGGGTAGGTACATCCAAGCACATGCTGGAGAGCCTCATCTCAACTAACCGGGTGACACTGCACAAGCCACCGACGGGCCTCCCAGCATTCCATGCCGCAGCCTACTTGCAAACAAGTGATACACAGTGCTTGGCAGAGGGACTGTCTTCCTGGAGGCTGGAACCTTTGTAGAGCACACAGGAAATGCCACAGGCTGCCTGTCACTAACAGGTCTCTGCACTGGAGGCCTGGGAAGATGCTAATGAGTGGGTGGGGCCTGTGTAATGACCTGGCCAATCACAGGGCAAAGATCGCCAATGTCCTTATCCCTGGAGACAGGCAGAAGACCCAGCAGGACAGGGCGGCAGCCCAGCACAAGCCCAGGCAGCCCAAGCCCAGGCGTGGAAAAGGCTGCGGGACTGTCACACACGCCCACTGCCTCTTGTTCCCAGCTTTTATCCACGAAAGGAAGACTCGGGTTCCTTTTTGCTGTGTATCACTGTTTATTGTCGTTTGCGATTAGGAATCGAACAGGGGACATTGTCTGTGGAGCGGGGAGGAAAAGAGAGAAGAATGTTTTTAGACTTAATCTCTTCCAAACACTTCATGGTTTCAAATCCTTTTTATCCCAAAGGAAACTGTAGAATTCAAGTATGTCGCGCAGGGAGCAGTAATACAAAATATGTGTGTGTGCGTGTATATGCGTGTGTACGCGTGTCCATGTATGTCAGCAGCAGACACGCGTCCGTGGTGCTCGTACTCTGCTCTGCTTTGGTAAGGCCGAGCCCAGGGGACATGTCCTGCACGTGGGCCCCACCTCCGTGCCTGGACTCAGGGCTGAGGAATTCATCTCCCTTCGCAGCGTAAGGGTGCAGGCTTCGAACCCACGGACAGTATCATAAAAAAAAAAAAAAAAAAAAGAGAGAGAGAGAGAGAGAAAAACCAACCCTCGTCCCCTTCAAAAATCCTGCGGTCCGCACTCAGGGCCCGTCTGCCGCAGCACTGCTCCTCTGACTCCTGGCGGGGCTCGATCGAAGGACCAGAGCAACAAGGCGTCTCTTCACTGTGTTTCACCATAAAAAAATTTAAGGGACATTTAAAAAGGAAAAAACAAAACCGAAAACCAAAAACAAATTCAAATTCTGAAAATATCTTGCCTTTTTTTATTAATCATGTCATCTAACACCAATTAAAAAAACAAATATGTGACTATGATATAAAAATATGATCCCGGGAGTAACACTTCGTTGCAGGCACAGTTATTTCACAGAATATACGCTGGGAGGGCAGGGAGAGGAGTTTGTTTTTGCTTCTTTAAAAAAAAACAAAAAACAAAAAAATCCAGCAGTGCAAGTAGGGTCAGGAAGGGGGGAGGGGAGATTCTTTAGCAGCAAAATGTCCACGTTCTCTAATCACAATCAAATCAACGGACACTGGATTACAAAGACCACGGAGATGAAAGGGTGCCGCCCTGCCTGTCCCACCACCACACGCTCCCACCGCACAAGCCCCAGCTGCGGCGTGCGAGGGACGCGCTTTATCACGCAAGCATTCATCCCGCTCGGCCCCCAAGCTCCTGCCTGTGTGTCACTTAAATGTATGTATAGGATCGGGCTCCTCTTCCCATCTGGGGCCCTGCCCGTCTCTGCGGTTTGGTCGCTTGGGATGGGCTCTCAGGGACGAGGCCACGCTGGGCCCCTGACACAGCAGCAGTTTCGGCACAGGCGCTGCTCCTGCCTGCCCCGCTGGCCCGGCTGCTTCCAGCAGAGGGTGGCAAAGGCGCAAGTTAATGGTCGCTGTTCTGTTTCTCTCGCATCCATGCCTGGATCTGTTCCTTCAGTTCTGGCACTGAGGGGAGAAAGAGAGGGGATTCAGGGCTGGCTGGGAACACAGTCTCTGGATGCAGCTCTAGCTCTGCATGGCGGGGGGAGCACGGGGACCTCCCTGCTGCAGGGCTCGGGTGGCCCTGCCTGCCCACCTGGCTCCAGCATGCTCTCTGTCAGTGTCTGCCTGTTGAATGGGTCGGTGGGCGAGTTGAGCAGGTGCCGCAGGATGATGGAGCGGTCCATGATGGTGCCGGAGGGCAGGCGCACGGGGTCAGTCATCAGCGTGTCCATCAGTGGGTCTGCAGGGACATGGCAGGGCAAGCTCAATGCAAACCACAGGTGGGAGAAGACAGCAAACCTGCGCCCCTGCTATCAAGGAGACACACAGCTGAGGGGAAGCAACCAGGCGGCCGCTGCTGGGCCCCAGGCAGGAGGAACTCAGCAAGGGCGTCACATGGGAAAGCACGACTGTGTCCCAAATGCTGGGCAGAGAGGACAGAAAAGACAGTGGGACAGTCACCTGGCAGGCCTGGCAGACCAGGATCCCTTGTCTTCTGTGTTGTTGTCGTTTGTCTGTTTTTGCAGCACTGGGGATTTAACTCAGGACCTCTACACTAAGTCATATCGCCAGTACTTTTTTAAAAATTTCAAGACAGGGTTGGCTAAGTTGCTTCAATTGCCCAGGTCAGGCTTGAACTTGTAATCTTCCTGCCTCAGCCTCCCAGAGTGTGCTGGGATCCTTTATTTTAAAACAACTCTAAATTCTTTGAAAGTGTGAATCCTCACTTACAAAGGCAAAGCTACCCTTCAAACACCACCAGGGATGTTGTCTGGTTTGATATCAGGCTTCTAAGAACATTCTTTCCTTTAACTTATGAGCTGGGTGTGATTTTGCATGGCTGTAATCCCAGCACTTGGAGACTGAGGCAGGAGGATCACAAGATCAAGGCCAGCCTTAAAAACATAGCGAGACCTGGCTCAAAAAAACCAAAAACACCTTTTTGATTTACATTATCAGCTAAAAACTGACAAACATAACTTCAGACAGCTCTTCTCAAAGCAGCCGGACACACCACTGAAACATCAAAAGCAGGTGCTGCTGTAAACCACAGTGTCGTGCAGAGAGCGGCCACTCACCTCGGAACTCGTCCGGGGCATCGCTGTAGTCGATCTCCGCGCGTGCGTTCTTGGCCACGATCTCCTCTACCTTCTCAGCGAGGAGTTTAAACTTCTCTATCGCTATAGTGGACTTGATCCCCGCCTTCCGCATCTTTGAAATGACTTCTTCGAACAGCTCCTTGCTGTAGGATCTCTGCAAAGAGGGGAGGCCAGGCGAGCAGTGAGGCCACCGCAGGCAGAAAGCGAGCCAACAGCACCCCAGCGCAAAGGCGGGGCCGACTGCACGGCACCGCGGCCTGGTCCAGGCTCCTCTGTGCGCTTACAGCCACAGGGAAGGATCCACTTTGGGGGGGGGGGGGGTACATGGAGCTCGGTGGCGCGGAGCTGCTCTGACAAGTGGGAGGCCCTGGTTCAGCTCTACCACATGTGCACAGGACGCATTCTCTGCGCAGCTAAGTGTGTCATGCAGGACAATGTGTGCCCAGCTATACAAGGCAGGGGGGTGATGGGGAGCATCTGAACATCTGAAGCTAGTGTGTATTTCCTTTAAAGCTACAACACTGCAAAGAGAAGGAAGATTTCAATCGAGAGGCCAGCTCTCCTCAAGAGGCTGAGTCAGGGGGATCACTGTGAGTCAAGGCCAGCCTAAACCGCACAGCAAGACCCTGTCTCAAAGACAAAACAAAACCTCCCCCAAGCACAAAAGCAGTTTTCTCCTGCCCATGGTCACTCTTCACAGACCACGTGGGTCAACACAGAAACGGCGGTCCTCTGTGGACGTGAGCTAGCCCAGACACAGTGGCAGAGCCTGTGCTGGAAAAGGGTGGGCTACGAGACAACGGCTGGGAGGTGGAGGAGGGGTAGTCCAGCTCATCACATGCCAGCTGTGTGGCCCCAGAGAGTCGCTCACTGTCCCCTGCCACCTCCTCAGGGGCGATGGGGACAGACTCTGTCCTAGGCGCCTCAATCACCTACTCACTGGCACTCAGCACCTCACAGCATCACACAGCTTGCATCTGTAGCTGAAACGTGGCCCTTGTTGACTTATGTTTAGTGACAGGATCAGGAAGGGGAATGAATGACGCAGAGACCCTGGAGCGGGGCCGCAGTCTCCACCCACACTGGGCCGCACTGAGGAATTCAGACCCCACCTAGGTCCCATTGCCCGACGGACGACAGTCAGGGTCTCTGGCTGTGCTCTGACCACATGTGGCTTCCCTAGGGACCTGGAGGCCTGCGGGCCCATGAGCATCTCAGCCTGGCTTCGGGGGCTGTGTGGATACCACTGCTCACACTGTCTCTGGGACCTGCTGGTTCTACCTGTGGGTTTGCATCAACGCTGGTGGCAGGGCTCAAGCAGTACTTTATTTATTTATTTTTTGTCTTTTTCCTTTTTATCAGGACCGGGGATTGAACTCACGACTGCCTGCTTGCAAGACAGGCGCTTATGCTGCTGAGCTAAACCTCCAGCCCCCAAAAGCAGTACTTTATAAAGCACTGGATTCCAAGACCCCAGCCCCGCGCCCATATACTTTTTTTTTTTTTTTTTTTTTGAGACAGTTTTGTTATATAGTTGAGGCTGGCCTTGAATCCACTGTGTAACTTGGGCGGGCCTCAGACTCTCGGAGATTCTCCTGCCTCAGCCTCCGGACTGCTTGGATGACAGTGTGTGTGCATCATCTCTCTCAGCTCTTCCTTTTCTACTTTCAGTTTCTGAACAAGTACACACATGTGCTCTGTGCTCACACATGCTCTGCACTGGGACAAGGGAGGGAAAGAAAGGTGGCAGCAGGATGGCCAGGCCTGGTGACAATCCAAAGGACCCTTCTGCAACCTAGAAAGCAGGGAGCACCGTGGCTGGGTTTCCTAGAGCTAAATTACTTCTTTAATTCCACACACCCTTGATTCAGGGCTTACTCCTCAGGGGCCAGACCACAGGACAATACAACAGGGCAAAAATGCACGGGGAAAGCCAGGCGTGGTGCTGCATGCCTGTCACCACAGCACTTGGGAGGCTGGAGCAGGAGGACTGCTGCAGATTGGGTTACTGGGTTACACCGTGAGTTCAGGGCCAGTCCTAACTAACAGAAAGATCCTGTCTCAAAAGAGCAACCAAGCAACTAACCAAAAACACCAAAGGAAGAAAAAAAGACACCACCCCCAAAAACCACACTCGGAGGGGCTGGGGATTTAGCTCAGCGGCGTAAGCGCCTGCCTTGCAAGCAGGCAGCGGTGAGTTCAATCCCTGGTACCGATAAAAAAGAAAAAAAACAAAAACAAAAACCACACACAGAATTCCTGAACGCTGCCATGGGCACTGATATAAAAGCAACTGAGACTCCTACTCCATCACCCCTCTTTGGGGCAGGAGCTGCTTAGCCCACCTGCGGCCTTCAGAAAACAGCTGTTAGAAAAGACAAGGAGGCTTAACCGGCTGGGCCCTGCGCCCGTAGACAGCAGCAGAGTGGGCAGAGGGAAACTGGATGACCCTGATGACAAGGACAGAGAGGCAGCCCAGCTGCTGCCACCGCCTTGGGCACCCTGTGGAGTGGCTACAAAGTGGAAGTGAAGACAGCTGCAGAGCGCAGTGCGGGCCTGGTGCGCGGAACCCTCCCAAAGGCCACTCCCACTCTGCAGGCCCTCGAACCACCCAAATGGAAAGGAGCCACGGCTGCAGAGTGGACTCTCTTTTAGGAAGGACCCAGGGCTCCCTCGTGGTGGAAGGATAAACAAATGATGAGCTTCTACGTGATGGGACCATATTTTTCAGTCTCAGAGCGAAACCAAGTCCCTGCCTGTTTCTGCTCCTGCACCAGCAGGGGCCTTGGAACCTGTTTACCCAGCGCTCGTTTTTGGCCCACGCGGCCCCTGGGATCCGCCTTCTCATTCACAAGCTGTGACTCTGAACTCACGGCCCTGGGCTCCATTTGGAGCAGGAGGTCTGCAGACAGACACCATGGGAAGGCGAGGACCCCAGGCCAGGTACAGCACCTGCGCCCATGCCCCTGCACCCGCAGCACTGACCTGGTCATCGGCGATGGCTTTGGCGAAGCGCGCACAGTCCAGCTGCAGGTAAATGTCCGTCAGCTGGTCCAGCAGCTTCTTTGGCTCAAAGCCATACTTCTCGGGGTTCTCAACCTTCAGGTCACGGCATTTGGGGCCACAAAGCTGCTGAAGATTGAAGTTCAGCATCGCAGCCAAGCGGGGTCCAAGCTCCTAGGAAGCCACAAAAAAAGGCCACAATTTGTGCTGCTGAGACAGTGACAGGGACCTGCAGAGCAGGACCAGGAGTTGGCTGCTTCAATCTTTAGAAAATCACTTCAGCGTAAGCTGAAGATGGCCAGCAGCGCATCCCTCTCTGTTTCGCAGCTGAATGTTCTGGAACTCACTGGAATGCTGCAGGCTGACAACGCCACCTATGAACGCCACAAAAGGCTTTCCTTGGCAGTTACATGTTGTTTTGTCTTTTTCCTTTTTATCGGTACCAGGGATTGAACTCACGACTGCCTGCTTGCAAGGCAGGCGCTTATGCAGCTGAGCTAAATCCTCAGCCCCTTTTTCTGGTGTTTTGAGACAGTGTCTCAATAAATACTATAGTTCTATGTGGCCTAGGCTGGCCTTGGACTCACAGTGACCCTCCTGCCTCACCTTCTGCAATGGTGAGATTACAGGTGTGCGCCATTAACCTTGGCTTGAGTTTTTGGCTTTTTGGACAGGGTCTCACTGTATAATCCAGGCTGGCCTTGAATTTGCCATGTAGCCTAGGCTGGCCTCAAACTTGAGATCCTCCTGCCTCAGCTTCCAGAGTGCGGAGATTACAGGTGCAGCAACTTTTGGCTGTCTGAATTTTAACACAGCTAAGAGAACCAAAGATTTAACATAGTATCAAGCATCCTGTTTAATGTACACCAATATATGTTACCTTACACCTTCCCTATAAGTAAAACACAGCAATCAATAATGATAAACTCAATGCACTGTGTGCTGTCTAAGCAGAAAGGGAAGGAGTCATCCTGGAGGTGACTGTTTGTATGTCACTATGTGGTGACATCAAACCTCTATCAGCAGAGCACTGTTCTATCAAGACCAGTAACAAAATTCCACTTTTTGCTTTGACATTAGTATTTCTTTTTTTTTTTTTTTTTTTTTTTTTTTTGGTCTTTTTCCTTTTTACCAGTACCGGGGATTGAACTCACGACTGCCTGCTTGCAAGGCAGGTGCTTATGCCGCTGAGCTAAATCCCCAGCCCTGATATTATTATTTCTAGGCTTGCAAAACTGTGTTAGGCCACGCATGGTGCCACACCTGTAATCCCAGCACTAGGGAGGCTGAGGCAGGGGGAGTGCTGTGAGTTCTCAGGCAGCCTGGGCTCCACACTGAGACCATGCATAACAAAACACAACAAGATAAAACTCCCAATAATGAGACTGAGACACACACACACACACACACACACACACACACACACACACACGACCAAATCCAAACCACAACTGAGTCGCATCAGAAGAGCCAGGGCCTAGCTGGGCCCTGACAAGTGTCTGCTCACCGGTCTGAGGAACGGCTTCTGGACCTGCTTGGTGAGGATGTGGAACATGTCCACGGTTTCTGTCGCCAGGGCGAGGTATGAGCGGGAGACGCGCTCATCCTGAGCCAGCTGAGACTGCCGGGCCTGCTGCTGATCCTGGGGAACAGTGCACAGTCAGCTCACTGGGCGCAGGGGTACCCATGGAAGATGGCCATGAGGCTGGCATACTACAGACAGAGGGCACAGGTGGCCTGGCAACGGCTGGGAGTCCAACCTCATCTTTTAGAGCCAGAATCTTTGGCCTGAAGTCAGGTGGCCTTGTTACCTTGTGGTGCCACACATGGAACCCAGTGTCCAGCCCTGAGCTCTGGCCCAGCCTGGCTCATTATTTAAGCCTAAGTTTTCTCAGTGGTGCCTGCCCCTCACGCGAGAGCTAAGTGACGCTGTACCCAAGCCTACTGGTACCCACAGGGTCACTCATCTCCCTTCCCAGCAGCTCTTCCTCCTCTTCTCCTTTTCAAACTCTGCCACCTTGTGCTGGCTGCACTGCTGACTCCCAACTCCCTGCAATGCTCCCTCCCTCAGTGCTACCACAGGCTGGGAAACGGGACAACACAGAGTGTCTGCCTCGGGCAACATCGGGAGGCACAGCGAGGGCTCTGCTGTTCCCATCTGCCCAAGGGCCTTTTCTAAGCAGGGGACAGAAAACAGAGGCAGTCACTGGCTCAGTGGTCAGCAGCGGAGACGCTGCAGCCAGCCGGGGGTGCCCAGTACCCTGGTTCTGCGTGAGCCAACTGGGAGAAGGGCTGCTCCGGGAAGGCGACGACTAGGCCTCCCTGTGACCTCGCTGTCCTTCTCCTGCAGGCCACCAAGGCAATGCCATAGGGCTGGCTGCCTGCAGGTGGAAGCTGATTCCAGGTCTTTCCAAGGTGCAAGCAGGTCTGCCAGGGACGGGAGAGCCTGAGCAGGCTGGGGCAGGGGGTGAGGTGGGCTGGGCCTCTTGACAATAAACAGTATGAGGGCTTCCGAAGGCGCCGGCCCGGAAAGAACGGGGACTTGGCACTGCAGGTGGAGGGACAGCACAGCACGACCCTTGAGGCCCTCACACAGAGAGGGGTATAAGAATGACAGTGCCAGAGCTGAGTGCGAACAACTGGACATACCCAGAGGCCAGAGCTGGAGGACAACAGTGAGGGCTCATTTTGGTGCATTTATTAGATCACCCAGGGGCAATGCAGGTGACAGAGGTCTGCAGCCAGGCCTGAGGAGCTCAAGGAAAATTGTAGTCTTTAAAATACAGATAAATTTTGGGTGGGCCGTGGTAGGGCATATCCGCAATCACAGCACTCTGGGAAGCTGAGGCTTTAGAAAGCCCAGCCTACACTATTTAGAAAGATCCTGTTTCAAAAAAAAAAAAAAAAAAAAAAAAAAAAAAGGTGTAGCTAGCTCATTGCAAAGGCCATAGGTTCCACCCTCAGCACCACAGAAACCAACAAATGTAAATGTTAAAGCCATGGAAGTTATCACCCGGCAGTGATTCTCAGCTGGGGCTTTGGGTTATGTAAGTTCCTGGCTACATGATGGCTCAGGTAAGAGGTTCAGTTCCTGGTGTTACAGGGGCAGGAAGCAGAGGTGCTGCTCATTCTGCAGTGGAAGGACTGTCTTGTCATCAGGAAGCATTCATGGTCATCCAAACTCCACTACATTTAAAATTCTAACTAGCACTGTAGGACAGGGCTGGAGAGACAGGAGAGACTGAGGGCTGAGAGCTGTGTGCTAGAGGCAGCCAAGGTGCAGAGGCTGGGGACAAGGGCAGGCACAGCCGGGGAGGCGGGAGGAAGGGCACCATCTGAGACAGCTAGTGCCGGGCTCTGTGCCTTTCCACATCCATTAGGAGACAAATCGATATCGTTCTGTGTCTCCTCCCAATGCTATTAAGCACGAATGTGAACATGCTGGTCTTTGCTAAGTACAAGCTGGTCTCTACTCAGCTCCCAAGAGTCAAGAATTGGGTGCTGCACAGGGAGGGGAATGAGGACACACAGCTACCCCCGAGGGAGGATCTACAGGGTTCTTGGTCAGAGAATAGCAGGAGCCTAATACCGTGTAGGACAGAAATGTCTCCCAGCAAGGGAAACCGAGCTACGCACACTGGAGCCAGCACCTCCCATCCACCTCTCCACTCGAGGGGCTCCTGCAAGGCAGGTGTTCTCTCTGCTTTCCATGCTGAGGCGGTGCCAGCTCTCAAGCCCAGGTCACCCTGGCCACCAGAGCCGTGGTGCTGCAACTAGGCCTCCCCCAACTCCCCACCCGATCCTGCAGAGGAGAAGACCCTGGGGCAGGTCTCAGCAGCAGCTTGAGGCTGTGGCACCAGGCCACCAGGGTTGCCTCAACCCCGGGAGCTGTGGGACTCTGTGGTCTGCAGCAGGACAGCTGAGGGTATGCCTGGAAATGAACATGAGGTGGTGTGTGTGGAAACTAAGGTACCAGCCCGGTGCCAGAAGAGACCGCACAACTACCTCAGTGTAGCCAGAGGAGCTCAGGGAGGGTGAGCATGGGCGCGGGGACACTCAGCCCTCCGGACCCTTGCAGAGCCCTCCGCACCCTTGCAGAGCCCTCTGCAAGGTTTAAATTCATATGAAAATTCCTAGGAAAGTTGCAGAGGTACCTAGAATGGAAACCTTCCCCAAACATGCTGCAATAGCCTACATTTATGATATGCTTTCACAGAAGTTTTAATTTTTGTTTTGTTTTTCCTGAGACACGGTCTCACTATGTAGTTCAGGTTGGCCTTGAACTCATGATGATCCTCCTGTTTCAGCCTCCTGAGTGTCGGGATTGCAGATGTGTACCACCACACCTGGCTATCATACTTTTTAATTCCAAACATTACCGCTCACTGTGCCCTCACTGTGAGGGTGCCGGCAGGGCAAGAACCCCTTCAGAAGGCAGTTCTGACTCAGAACCACTTTGTCACTGGAGCTGCCAGGTCCACTAATGGAACCAAGGGGCATCTAAGGCTGCCACTGGGCTAGGGAGGGGACGTACAGTCTTCAGCACAGCACCAAGTTTTCATGGAAACCAGGTCTCTCGGCTGTTAACACCTGGATAGGAAATCCAACATCCGTGGAGAGCGAGCCCTGCCTGAGCTCACTGCCCGAGCGACCCAGAGCTGCCCAGGGAGGAAGACAGTGGAGAATCTGAGTCTTGTCTAGCAGACGGAAGTCTGGAGATTTATTTCCAAGTTACTTTCATAAATTTTATATATCTGGACAATAAAAGCTCTTCTCTAAAAAAGCCCTTTAAAATTAAAAAGGCAGAGAGGGTTTTCAGGAAGCATTTTGAAAGGCTTCTCGGCTCACTGCTTAGCTTCAGTGAAAGAGCTTTAAAAAAGCAGACTTGGGAAAAAAAAAACAAAATAAATAAAAATAATAAAAAATGAAAAGCTGACTGGGCCAGGAGGTGGCTCCAAGCAGCACGTGTACCTGGCCAGCATGCGCAGGGCTGTGGGTCCAGTCCTTAACCTCAAAAAGCCCCTTGGGGTTTTTTTCCCCCCAAACCCGGGATTGCACTTTATAGGGGCCCTTTATGGAGCAGGAAAGCCTGATAGGATAGGCCCGGGGAGAGGGACCCGCAGGCGCAGCAGGAGCCGCAGCTCCACTGCCGTCCTGCAGGGGGCGCAGACCCCAGCCTGCCCTCACCCGCGGCAACTGGTCCCACTGTTCTTTGTTCTTCATCTCTTCTTGCACCTCGTGGATCCGCTTCAGCGACTCCAGGCTTTCATCGAGCAAGAATGTGGTGTCATTTATCAACATGTTTATATAGCGAACGAACTGCTTCCCAGAACTGCAAAAGCAAGAGACTGGCGCTGTCACACGCCCAGCAGGTCCCCAGCCCCAGGGTGGCCCAGCTGTCGGAGCCCAGACCCCAGACCCGGTGGAAGTCAAGAGTGGTTCTAGGGGTGCTAGAGCCCCCATGTGGCTCACAGCAAGCAAGTGCTAAACACTCCAGAGTGGCGTCTGGGAACCAATTCCTTCAGCAGCTTAAACTGGCAATGGGGCCACACTCACATCGTGGACCTGCTTCCTTCCAGAAACTAGGTTTCCCAGCACCCCCTTGCCTGTTCCCTCAGTGTTTCTAAGGGGAGATGCTCTTTCAGTTGAAAGGAAACACACCCACACGCGCCATGGAACAAGGCACAAACACGCCGCATGTGAGCAGAGCAGAGCAGTACTGGTGTCACTGCTCAGCACCAGGTGGCCCTCAGGGACACTGGAACGTGAACACTGAGAGGACGGGCGCTCATTCGCAGCTTGAAGCTTCCGTCCAAGGCAGCGTGCTAAGAATGTCAAGTGGAGGGACGAGGTGAACCAAAGCCACATGGTGCCTGATAGACTCTGACGTTGTCGGCCTGGTGGCACAAATTGATGCTCTGCTTCCAGACCTACGACCGTGGAACCGGGGAAGGCAGCTCAGGCCAGGGCAGCGGGCTCTGTGAACTAGGGTGAGGCCAGGGCCCAGCGTGCCAGGAGTGCCGGGCACACATTTCCAAAGTGCTCCGTGCAGCTCGGGCTGCCGGTCTGCTTGCTCTTTACACTCCTGCTCAGCTTTTGGTGGAATGCAACTATGGCCCTAAGAGAAGGTCATGGAATGGAAATGACCTTGGTCTACGCTGCGGGAAGCTAGCTAGCGAATGGGTACTCCACTAGTGACCCCGACGGCACTGACTGGTAACAGAGGGAATGTGTGGTCTCCAGAGCTGGTCAAAGACCTGACGGGATACAAAATGTCCACACTGCTGCTGAAAGTTCTTCTAAAGAATCATTTAGGAGTTCCCTATTTTCTCCATCTTTCCTTATGAGGCACTAACAGCAATGCAGATGGGAGCACTCCTGTTCAGGTTCCAAGAGTCACTGGACTCTCACTCATCTAGGCTCATAGGAAGTCTGGAAGCGAGGCTGAGAAACTGGCTGCACACGGTGACAGCTCAGACGGCGCCCTACCCTAACCACCTCTCCATCTGACTCCATTTCTAACTCAGGTTTCCTTCTCAAGAGCACTGAATGATCTCATCTCGGCCCTTCTGATGACAAAACAGAGCGTAATTGGAGAATCACCAAGAAACACATCATACACGCATTTTCAGGGTCTGTGCGTAACCCACATTCAAAGTCTGCAGACAAATCTAGGGCTCAGTGCAAGCGCAGACAGTTCAATAACCCTGCCACAATTTTGCAACAGCTTGTGGGGAATTTGCAGGAGGCTGAGACCACAGAGACAGTAAACAGGAACCCAGATGGGAAGGTTTTAAAGTGCGTCCTACCTGTGATTTGCAAGACGGCAAGCTGGGGTAGACAGGGGACTCGATACTCACTTGAACTCCTCCATGAAGGTGCCATGGTGAGCTATGTTTTGCCAAAGGCTTTTAAAGATGGTGCTGATGTGGTAGCGAATGGTGAACTTGTCGTAGAACTCGCTGGTGGCTCCAGTATGCTCAACATCTAAGGAAGAAGGACAAAGAGACCAGGAGACAGACAGTTATTACCACACAGTGACATTGAGAACATACACGTCTGCAATACCAGAGCTATGGTAAATTTTCATTCTGTCTTGCAAAGGGAAGAGGCAGAAGAAAAATTACGAGCTGGTTTTAAATACAAAAAGTTTCACAGGAAAGGTTGATTCAACACCGAAAGGAGAGGCCAGGAGATCGGAGGCACCACTAGAGTAGCATGGCTCGCAGGGACCCGATGCTGACCTCCCCATCAGGCGCCAGCACTAAGAACGCAGAGCAGGGAGCGCGCTGCGGGGACCCCACTGAAGCATGTTGACCTGGTAAGGGTGTCAGGTGTGCTGACTCAACACCTGTGCATCTCACATACCTGCATGACGTCCTGGAGCAGTGAATCCCCATGTACCTTCTGCTGCCGGGGTGGCGAGGTGCACCTACCACCTTCAACCACCAGCTTTGGGGCTGTTTCTAAATACAGCGAAAGCTAATCAACTGGTAACTTATTACCTTGTATTAATTCACGTGCATTTCTCTCAATACTTTCTAAATCACACCAGCCCAAGTTCAAACTCCAAAGCTCTAGTTCCACAAATCCTGGGATGCACTCTGGCCCCAGCTGAGCTCGCCTCCCCCACTTTCTTCCTGACGCTCGTCACTGTGCAGGCCTGAAGGCCCCTACCCTCACTGTCTGCTTTGCCTGCACACGGTGGCTGAGATCCCTCACTGCTGTCCTCTCCCCTGAGCCCCTCGCTCACAGCCGTTCCGCGGTGTAGCCTGTCTCCTCATGGGCCTGCGTGACCTGTGTGGGACCGACTCCATGGCTGGGCACCGTGCAGATCAGCGCTGGGGCCCGGCCAGGAACTTGCTTCCCCAGTGCCCTCCCAGTCCTCAGATCTCTTCTCTAAGGGTCATGGTGTTGGGTCACAAGGTAGAACACTCTTGTTTTGAAACCTGAGTTTATTTTTGAAACAAAAACTGGAGGCTCAGCATTTCCTAAGCCATAACCCTAGTTCCGGCCAAGAGGAACGGCGCACGCATCGATCTCACACAGGGACTCTGCTCCGGGCGTGGCAGCCACACAATCCAGCCATCTCCTCCCTGGCAGGTTTTCACGGGGCAACCAGTCTCTCAGGGAGTGTGTGGGGGCCCCTGGTCATTGCAGAAGAAAGCAGTGTGGATGGGTGCACGTGGGCTGCCACCGCCAGCCCTGGTGCCACCTGCTCATGCCTGACCCCCAGCGAGCTCCTTGCCCCTTCTGAGAGCCGGCTTCTGAGCTGGGGGAGGCAGGTACTTATAAAGCCTGTTTTCAGGCTGCACTGGGATTTAGTGGTGGGATCGGTTAGGATTCGAGGGGTGCGGCTATTTTTAGGAAGCTTGTCATCTATCCCTGACCACAGAGGAGATGCAGTCCAGGCCAAAGGGCACATGGCTGCATGAGGAAGGGGACAGAGAAAAACACCCACCTACCAGCCCTGGAGTGTGGCGGCAGGTGTCACCAGGGGCACGCACACAGGCCTTGTTACTCAGGCACCACGGGGGCAGGCCCAGAGTGCTGGGCACTAAGTCAATCCACTGTTTTTCTTTCTTTCTTTCTTTTTTTTGTTTGTTTTTACTATAAAAATACTGCTTCTTCATGTCTTGTTTTTTTTTTTTTTTTGTAATTCTGGAGATCAAAGCCAGGGCCTTTGCACTGAGCTGTGCTCATGCAATTTTCCTTTTCTTTCTTTCTTTTTTTTTGGTACTGGGGATCGAACTCATGACCGTGCACTTGCCAGGCAGGTACTTATGCCACTGACCTAAATCCCTGCCCCCCCCCATCCCTCCATTTTTTATTTTTAGGCTGGTTTTCACTAATTTGCCCAGGCTGAGTTTAAACTTACATCTTCCTGCCTCAGCCTCCCAGAGGGCTGAGATTACAGGTGGCAGTTTTTTTTTTTTTTTTTTGGTTGTTTTTCTTTTTATCGGTACCAGGGATCGAACTCACGACTGCCTGTTTGTAAGGCAGGCACTTATGCTGCTGAGCTAAATCCCCAGCCCCCTAGGTGGCAGCATCTTAGCATGACATTTTCTTTACTTTTTGCTACCTAACCACTTAATATAAATGGTGCACTATTTTTCATGGCTCATACAGACTCACTGCATGGATAAACTTTAACTTATTTAATTTACCCACAACAGACATGTAGGATTTTTTAGAAGTATTTTCATGATACTATTAAATATATTATTGTGAAAGTTGTCATAGACAGATATGCACATTTATAAGAATTTCCACAGGACAAAACAGGGGAAAATAAACTCCCAGGTGCACGGGCAGGCTGGTTATTCAGCCGCTGCCTCTCCATGTCCAGCCCACTCCTCATGCGGGGCCTGTGAGCCACCTGCTGGGACTGTGCTGTGGATCCTATCAGGGCCACCAACAGGGGGCACTGCAGAACTGCTGGACAGATGGATGCAGTTGACAGTGGGTCTCCTTCCCAGCCAAAGAGCAGTGCCAGCTCCCTCCGTCCTGCACCCCAGCTTGAGCAATCTTGCCCACCCGAGAGACCCTGGCAGCTGGCCCATGTGCCCCCTCACAGCTCTGGGCTGGGGTTTTGCCCGGGTCTCCATGGCATAAGTGCATTTTTTTTTTTTTTTTAAATTGGTATCAGGGACCGAACTCATGACCACCTGCTTGCAAGGCAGGCGCTTATGCCGCTGAGCTAAATCCCGAGCCCCGACAAGTGCATTCTTATCCCCTGACCACTTCCCTTGGTTCCTGGCCAGGGAGCTGCCAATGGCTGCGACTTTCCCTGTACTCCGTCACTCCCATGGTCCTTTCCCCAAGCCCATCCTTCACATCCATTTGACTAGTTCCTCATGCTCAACTCTACTGAACACCTAGAATGTTTGTTTTCCTGACTGGCTCTCAAGCTGTATGAAGCAGGTAACAGGCCAGTTTTCTTCCAGGACTAGGGATTGAACCAGGGCCTGGTGCCTGCAAGCCAGGGTGCTACATTCCCAGCCTTTTCTTTTCTTTTTTTGAGAAACTGTCTCGCTGTATAATTCAAGCTGCCCCTAGTTTAGTTCACTAAACTAGGTAGCCCAGGCTGGCCTCAAACTCACACTGATCTTCCTGTTTCAGCCTCCCAAATACTAGGATCACATACTGGGCCACACACCCACATACTGGGCCACACACCCACATACGGGGCCACACACCCAGCTTCCCCAGCCCTTTCTTACTTTTCCACTCTGAGACCCTAAGTCACCAAGTTGCCCAAGCTGGGCTCAGACTCTCCATCCTCTTGCCTCGGCCCTCCAGAGTGCTGACATCACAGGTATTTGCCATCATGACAGGCTTTTAAAAAAACTTTTAGCATGTGCCACCGCGCCTGGTGAGGATTCAAATATTTTCAACTTTCTTGATATCCCAATTTACATTTTTGTGAATTTCATAGCACTAATTCTGCACACTGGCTACAGGAGATTAAATAACTTTTTTGTTGGTTTATTACTTTGCAAATCTGTCGTGTTTCTTTTTCTTTGTCTTTTTCATCGGTACCGGGGATCGAACTCACGACTACCTGCTTGCAAGGCAGGAGCTTATGCCGCTTAGCTAAATCCCTAGCCCCAGGTATATATTTTTTTTTGTTTGTTTGTTTTTGTCTTTGTCAGGTGTTTCTGACTTTGACAGGTGCAAAGGAAGATCTTGTCATTTTTTTTTTTTTTCCAGATCTTGTCATTTTAAAGGCACTGCTTCCAGAGCTCCCAAGCCTGCCCTGGGCAGGGTGCTGTGCCGGTCTTACCCGTAAGTGGGTTGGTACCACCTGTACACGGAGGCCTGCGCCCACCTCGTATGGCTGAGATGGGAAAGAGGAAGACTGTCGCCGGGAAGGGGCTCTCACCCACCGCTGCGGCACGGATGTCAACACAACATCCCAGGGCACAGCATGTAAGAGGGCAGCTGAGGAAGTGCCGAGACTGCTCAGAGGCCACAGGGTAACAGTGACAAAGGGAGGCATGAGTAGACACACAGAGGCCAGGGAGCAGACACATGGCAGCGTGTGGCCCAACAAGCAGGAGCCAGGGTTGGGACAGGAAACTCAGGCGATGTCACACCAGCCAGCAGGGATGGTGAGGGACTGAGCTCCTGGCACCAGCATTTCTTACAGGAAGAGCATGGCGAGGAGATGCTGGTGGATGCCAAACACACGCACTGAGTGCCCCAAAAGCACTAGGCTGGGCAGAAAACAAGACAGGCCGGCCACGTTTGCTTTCCTGAGAAACACCAGAGCAGCAGGAGGGAGACAGACGCAGAGGGCTCATGGGTAGTAACTCAGGAGCTGAAGTCAAACAGGAAAGTCTGGAATATGTTTTGGCCAGAAGAGGACACTGTCTGCGGAGTCCCCCACACGCTTTCTGTTGTCTTCAACAGGGAGTAAATAATGAACATACTGATTTCATGAATGAACAAAAAAGACACCCAGATTCCACTGGCTTCAGCAAAGTCCAGGAAGAAGCAGGGTGGCTAAGTTGCCCAGGCTAGCCTTGACCTTGCAGCAACTCGCCTGCCTCAGTCTCCCAAAGGCTGGTACTACAATTGGGTGCCACCATAGCTGGCCAAGAATAAGCACTTTAAACAATCTCCCTATTTCACTCGCACTTGGGAAATGGAATTATGGGACAGTTACAAAAGTAATGCTGTAACTTCAGAGTAAAAACCAACCAGGAAATCCACTCAGAGAAAAACACGCACTTGGGGCACTGACAGCAGAGTGAGTCTGTCTCGGCATCAGGGGTCGGTGCACAGGCCAAGCAGCAGAGTATTTCAGGGGCTCGGGGGAGAATACTCTAGAGCCGCCTTCCAGGGTGGTGGGTGATGCACCTGGGGGACATCAGGCTCCGAGGCAGCAGGTGAGCGTGGCTACTTCCGGCCTCACCTGCTCAACATGCAATAAGCCCCACAGCCTGCCAGGAACCCACCTGTGTAGAACTTCATCAGCGATGGTACCAGCAATTTGGTGGACAAAGGGTGGTTCTCAATCATCTCAAAAAACTTCTGGGTTCGCGGCTGAACAGCAGGGTTGGTCATGAACATGACCTCCACGAGCTTGGCCACGAGGTACGGGTTCCGGATATAGTTCTGGTTGCACAGCATCACGACGAGGAACGTCACGATATCCTGAGTGCAGGGCTCGTAGAGCACCTGGGGCGAGTACCTGGTTGGGGAAGGTGCAGGAGGAAGAGCTCACGAACCCAGGCCCACGCAGGCGGGAGGAGCCAAGACAGGAGGCCAAACCGAGGACTGAGCTCCCTCGGTGGCTCTGCGCACTGTGACCTGGCAGACTGCATTTTATTTTATTTTAATTAATTATTTTATTTATTTATCTATTTATTTTTGGTTTTGTGAGCCAGGATCTTGCCATGTAGTCCACGCTTGCCCTGAACTCACTCTGTAGCCTCAAACTAGCAGTGGTCTTCCTGACTCAGCCTCCGAAATGCATTCACTGGCTAACCCACATCAACTTACATTCTTGAGTAAGTCAGAAAAAAATTGACAAAAGAGCATCACTACCAAAAGACTAAAAAATGTTTCTAATAGTTGCTTTCATTTTTAAAGTTTGTTTTAATTTTAAAAAATGAGTGAACTGGGCTGGGGATACAGCTCAGTGGCACAACGCCTGCCTAGAAAGCATGAGCTTAAGAGTTTACTTCCCAGTACCAAACAACAGGAATGAGCTGGCATGGTGCTGCACGCCTACAAAGCCAGCACTCCAGAGACTGAGGCATGAGGTCTGCGTGAGTTTGCAGCTGGGCTACAAAATGAGTCTGGGGCCAGCCTGAACTACACAGTGACACTCTGTCTCAAAAAGACCCCAAAACAAAGAATGAATGAAACTTTTCAAACAGATGCTATATCACAGCGCTAGGGAAAAGCTTAATGTAACTCATGTACGAGGCTTCAATTCCAAGGCTGGTTTTCACTCAACAAATAAATCAGGATTTCTCTTCACCTTTTTCATCTTATCATCATCCAAAATACACGTTCACTGCTGATCTGGGCTCATGCTGGAGCAGACTTTATGACAGTGATAGTTTGCTGCATTCATTTTGGCTCTTATTAAAGGCCATACTAACAAGCTGCATGTGGTGGCATATACCTGTAACCCCAGTACTTGGGAGGCTGAGGAGGATCACTGAGAATTCTAGGCCAGTCTGGGGTACAAAGTGAGTTCAAGGCCATCCTGAATTACTTAGTGAAACTGTCTAAAAAAATTTTTTTAAGTCTGTATTTCCTCATTTTTTGGTTAAAAAATGCACACAGTTCATACTTTGTGATCATGACCTTAAATTTACTTTTACTTTTTTTGTGTGTGTCTGTTGCATACAGGGTCTTGCTATCCAATTTAGGTTGGCTTGAGGCTACTTTGAGCCCAGGCTGGTCTTGAACTTGCAATGATCCTCCTGCCTCAGCCTCCCGAGTGCTGGGATTACAGACGTGAGCCACCATGCCTGGATACCACTTTTTTTTTTTTTTTTTTGCAGTACTAGGCATTGAACTCACAACCTCACGTTTGCCAGGCAGGCACTTATGCCACTGAGCTAAATCCCCAGCCCAAAACTTTTACTTTTGAAAAGAGACTTCACTTACCATTTTCTTCCCAAGGTAGTACGACTACAATGGTGCTACCACACAGTGACAAGGAACTACATTTGAATTCTTTTAGTCTAGCATAATGTGAAATTGTTTCGCTTTGTGGTGCTAGGATCAAACCAAGGCCCTCTTGCATCTTAGGCAAGTGTTCTAGCACTCATTAAGCTACATCGTTGGCCAAGTAAGAATCTGAAACACTGGGGCCAAAACATCTCAACAATAGTTCTAAGATCAAACCATCTGTTTGAATGCTTTCTCTAAGTTTACAATTGAGCCAAAACAGGGACGTGGGCATTTCTGGCTCTTGAGTGTTCACTTGGGATTTATTTGAGGCAGGGTCTTGCTGTGTAGTTCATGGTGTGCTGGACTTACTATATAGCCCAGGCTGGCCTTGCACTCATAGCAATCCCCCTGTCTCAGCTTCCCAAGTGCAGGGATTACTGGCGTGTGCCACCACACCTGGCAACTTGCCTGTGTGCCTTTTGTTTCTCAGAACACATGGTCAATTGTCAAAAATTCCACATGACCTTCATGGCATATGCCAGGTCTGCACGTGAACCTTGCCCTGAGCAGGCTGAGGGGGAAGGACTGCTGTGTTTTCGGCCAGTCTCAGGGGCTAAGTGAGCTCAAGGCCAGCACAGACTGCAGAGCAAAACCCTGTCTCAAAAAGACAAAGAGAGTATATGTCAGAAATACTTACTGTACAATAAAAAATAAAAATTCAGCAACATCTTCAACATAAAACTCCGGCAATGCTGCAAATACCTTGGGGACATCTGAACTTAAAGGCAGTGTTATGCTGTCAAAGAGAAAAAAAAAAAGCACAGTTTACAAAAGGAAATTGTGGCACATCAAACCACAAGGAGCATCATGTTGTCATTAGATAAAAAATCCACCATTCATGCTATCATACAACTATATAGAGTACACAGGCAAAGGAATCACAACCAGGAACGAATGGAGAATAATGCGGACAGTGGGTGTGCTAGAGTGTGTGCAAAATGCTCTGTCTTGTCTTGATTTCTTATGAAAGTTAACGCAGTAAACACAGTGAGGAGGAAAGCAAAGACTGTATTTGGTTGTTGTGTGTGACTCTGTTAGGGCCACAGGTGTTTTTCATTCCTGCACAGGGTTTGGGCTGATCTCATCAATAATGGTGATGTCCTTTTGTTGTTGCTTTTTTTTTGAGGCAGGATTTTGCTACATAATTCAGGCTGGTCTTGAACGCACTATGTGGCCAGGCTGACCTTGAATTCATGGCAATCCTCCTGCCTCAGCCTCCCGAGTGCTAGGATCACAGGTGTGTGCCATCACACCCAGCCCATAGACTTCTTAGTAACTAGAAGACAGAGACAAACTGGCTGCCTGGAGAAGTCCAGTTGATGGCAAAGTGACTGACTGAGTGTCCTTAACTCACGCAGAATTTGTCAGGCACTCTGCTGGACTGAGGCCGAGGAGGGCCTCTGATCCTGCTGTCTCCAGCACTCAGCTTCCCATCTATAGATTTCCCTTTCCATCAAAGATTTTATAAGGCATTTTTAAAAACACGCTATACCGAAGCTTAAAAATCATAGGCATTGGCATCTTCCTGTGCCACTAACTAACCGAGAGGGACCGTACACTGATACACTTATCCCGTGAGCTCTACCAACACGACTGGAAAGCCAGTCCTCAGGAAGTTAGGGTTTCGGCTTTAGCTACTGACTCTGAATAATGACCACAATAGCACAGCCCAGACAACAGAGACTCGGCAAAGAGGAAAGAGCACACTCACTCGGGATACGCAGGGTCCAGGATGCGGAGCAGCAGCTGAATGAGAAGGCCATAAAAATGCAGACATCTTCTCAGGAAGCTCTCGTCAAGTAAGCCAGCGTCAGCACAGGCCTTGCACCGTACCAGTTTCTGTGGAAGTAGGTGTGCCCCCACCCATCGATTAGTCAGGAGCTGAGGCCTGCAGCGTGACTGGGTGGGGAAGGGGGCCAGAGATGGCAAGGTAGCGCTAGAGCTTCTAGAACCTTTTAACTGGCTACAGGATGCTGGTTGTGGTGAGATCACTCTCTTCCCTGAGAAAAACAAAAGGTAGGCCATGCACACCACTGAGCACAAGGTCTAGCACACAATTAGTGCTCAAGGAGGTTAGTTGTTATGGTCACTCTGGTTGGGGGTGGGGGTGCCAGGGAGGCCCTCTGGGTGTCAGGATGGTTAGTGGAAAAGAGCCAGACAAATCTGCATCTGAATTCTAGCACCCGGCTAGAGCTACCCTCAGACAAACAAAAGGCCTGTCTGCCAAGGGTGCTCCATGCCTCGCGAGGCTGCTTGAGCATGAGACACACAGGCACGCACACATGGACACGGAAATGTGACAGTTCAGAGACCCTGGCACACATCAGTGCAATGCGCAGGGGGCCCTGGGCCCAGTTTATTTTGCACCTTCCAGTGTCTATTAGCAAATGTGAAACTGAAGTCTTAAACAGACATGAGACAGGCAGCTTCCTCAGGTCGCCTTTCTAGTGCACAAGAAGCAGGGCCAGTAAACCCTCAGCACCGCTGTAGGCACATGAACAGACGAGGCATGTGTTTCCTGTACAAGGTCAGCCAGTGTTCGTTTTTAGCTGAATCTCCCAAGAAGGAACACTTCTAGCTATCGCTAAGTTCATGGGATGGATCGTTTTCAATTAAAAAAGAACGTGGCAAGGGAAAGAGACCTTGCCAATCACAGATCCTCCTTGGCAGGTCCTGGGGGCGGCAGGGGCCGGATGTCCAGAGCACGTGTGAATGGCGGGCTGGGGTCAGAGGGCAGTGTGCAGGGGGTCTGGCATGAGGTGGGCCAGGGTTGGTGACATGAGGCCTAGAGTGAGAGAGCCCATGAAGAACTCATGCTGTCACTGCACAAGCATATGCAGGTTCCGTGCCAATTTAAATGACCATACATAGATGCACTCGAGGTATCAACAAGTTTTACTGTGTCCTGTTTTATCTTGAGGGAAAGGAGAATGAAGAAAAACAAACATCACGGCCTACAATGCTCACTCCAGGCACAGGCTCTGCAAGAAAGCTGCCTGCTGTGCGGCAGGTCCGTAAGGGTTCCGATTAGCGTACAAACCTTGAGCTGGGTTTTACAGCGCTTCAGCATCTCTCGGTGCCTGGTCGCCAACGGGGAATCCTTCCACTGGCTTTCATTGTTCTTCAAATCTTCCACAGTTCTGAAATCAAAGACCCACAAGTAAATGAAAGAAAATAACCCTCTCCGGCTTATCTGTCTCCACCATTTCACTCTCAGACACGACTTTTGACACGTGAGCATCGCAAAATCAAAGGCCATCTTACAACCAAGGCAAGTTAGGACTCAACTGACAAGTGTTTTTCTTACTATTTCCTGAAATAATGATATCTCTTACAATTGTTAGTGCTAGATTTGATGAAAGAAACTGTCCCCTTATTTCCTGGGAGAGGAAAAGTAAGTCTCATGAAAATTCAGATGACTGTGCCTACGCAGTTATCAAAGCAAAAGGCGTGGCAGAGCCTCGTCTTTACAGCTGCTCTCTGCTGAGATTATCTCTGTGGTTTGTTCCTTCGCTTGCTCTAGGGATGTGATCAGATGTTGTCTGTCAGCGAGGGAATGTCCTTCCCCGTCACCTAATATGCTGCCTGTTCTAAAGACTGGCTCATTAACGCCGCCCCACCCCACTTCTCTCATGACCATGTAGACAATGAGAGGCTGCTGAATCTCTGAACACTGCACTCCCCCAGGTGTCCTCCTTTCTGCACAGCCTCGCTGCCACGGAAAGGGCAGAGCGCTGAGACGATCGTGTCGTTTTCCTGGGAGCGCAGCGGCAGAGGGGTCCTGGCTGGACAGCAGCCCCACAGTGAGGCGCAGGCCCCGCGCTGCTTCTAACTACCTGTCTCCTTCCCCAGGCACCCTCACAGTTCAGGACTGCAGCAATGCCCTTCAGTGACTGCCCCTTTCTGATTAGTCCCTGTAGACAGAGCCTTTGGTCTCTAACTGACATGGATGTGGCAGGTGGAAAAATCGTCCTTTAAAGCTGTCACAGCTCGGTGGCTGAATGGAACCTGAGAATTGAGACTAAGGGACTTGGTGCTGGCATTCAGGGCATAAATGCAGATACAGGCTATCCTAGATTATCTGGGTGCCCAGTGTCACCACACAGCAGCTCCTAAGAGTAAGAGGGAGAGAAGGCAAGGTGACAACAGAGGCGGAGCTCGAGACAGAGGAGCTTTGGAGATGTGCTGCTGCTGGCTTTAACATGGTGGGAGGGGCCACAAGCCACGGAGAGCTAGGGAAGAGACTTGCTCTCCCCACAGTCCTGAGAGTCACAGTCGTGACTCAGGACTTCTGAGCACCACAGCTGCAAGGTGACAGTGTGCTGCTGTAGTCACAAGGTGTTTCACGGTTACTTCTGTTTGTGACGGAACAGAACCCAGGGCCAAACAGGTGCTCTAATGCTGAACCACACCAGCCCCTAAGTCCCCGAGGTGGTGGTGATTTACGACAGCCAGCAGGGATCCAACAGGGATCACCTGCAGTACCGGAAGGGTGACAAGTGAGAGGCCTGAGAAAAATGGGCCTCTGGAGCCAGGTCTGTAAGGAGGCTGATCTGAAAGTGGTGATGACCCAGCTATTACCAGGAGATGGAAGCCTGGGAGTCCAAGGCTCTGGTGCACTCGCCTGGGATAGAGAGATGAACTGACCTACGTGTGCTGGCACATGCCTATAATTTCAGCACTTGAGGCTTAGACAGGAGAGTCGCCATGTGTCTGACACCAGCCTGGGATACCTACTAAGTTCAAGGCCAGCCTAAATACTGGACAAGACCATGTCTCAAAGAGAGAGAGAGAGAGAAACAGACAGGCAGGCAGGCAGGCAGAGAGACAGACAAAAACTACTTCTAACAATGCTGAGAAGCTTAGAACAGGCTCAAAGTTTCCAGTTCTCACCTCCTAGAAAAGTTGATGAATCAGGGAGCTTTTAAGGCTACTGGAAAGTAGCAGAGTTGGGTCCTACAAATCCCCACCTATGACACGAACCAAACTCACAGCCTCCCTGGGTCCCCTCACTGAAGACGGCATGAAGCCCAGGTGCCCAAGAGTTCAAGTAGAGCTGTCTGGGAAATGTGCTTACCCCGGTGCCTAAGTCCCTGAAGCTGCGAGCCCACCTTGCTGCTGGAATGATCTCAGCCAAGGCTGTCACTGTGCAAGGGTGACATCAATCTCTCTAAGGTCAAGCCCATCGCCATCCACTGACTCCAGGACCACAACCAGCCAGCTTGAGGTCTGCCCTGAGGACATGCTACAGACTGTGACACTTAGAGGGAAACTGGCTAGATGTGCTACTGTGTTACATCACTCTTCCACGCTGCTGCAACAAGTTACAAGAAAGAGCACAATCACTGTCTTAGTGCTCTGGTGAGCAGAAGTCTACTAGTTGGGGAGGCCTATAACCCTAGCATTCTGGAAGACTGAGGCAGGAGGATCCAGGTTCAAGTACAACATGGGGAAGTTACTGAGACTATGTCTCAAAATTCAAAATAATAGTAGGCAATAATTAAAGAAAGAAAAAAGAAAAAGAGCTGAGGACACAGCTCAGTGTGAAGATCCTAGGTCCAATTCCCACTATCACAAACCTCAAGGCAACAGAGATGGATGCCTCTGCAGACAATGGGAGAAGAGTCTTCTTTACCTCTTCCAGCTTCTGAGACTCTCTGCACCCTTGAACTTAGGACCCCGAATCACTCAGGTGCCTGCTTCCTTACAAAAAGCCCTGGCACTGGGGCCACCTAAATAATCTAGGGTAACTGCCCCATTAGAGGCTCCACAGGGGAAGTCCCTTAACTGCCTACAGTGGCACTGTCACAGGATCTGGGACAAGAATGAGAGCATCATAGGGTGCTATTATTCCACCTACCACCTGCTATGAGACATGGGGGGGGGGGCGGGACAGGGCACCTGTGTCAGGTTCCAGTGGGGACAGATTCTAGGAGGCTTCTCTGTTGGGCTCCACTGACTTTTGGATCCCACTTGCCCCAGGCACTGGATTTGCTATTTATCCTGGTGGGTTCTCACTGTGCCCAGCAAGGAAGAGGAAACCTGCACCCACAGGGTCCTGGGCTGCAAGGAACTGAGCCACGCCCTGACCTAACATACAGGTAGGAACTGAAACCTTCAGGAGCTTGGGAAGTGCGATCTGCTCAGAAAACCTGCCTCCCCCCACACACAGAACTCGCCCAACCTGGCCTATGTGACACCTATGGTGCCAGCCTGAAGACACATGGGTGTGGGGCACACACTGTCTTTGCAAAGCACAGAAGTGCTACCCCATCTGTGCTAGGGGTGCAGGTGGCAGATGGTGACCCTGGAATGGGCTGCCCAGGGAGAGGGTAAGGTGGCAGGACCCCAGCGGGGCCAGCTACCCTAAGGTAAGATGTAGCTTATGTAAAGCTCTCCTGATCACTGGCTTTACAAGCTGATAAGAGAGTGAAGATACAGTAAATATGAAAAACAGGGTAATATAGTTGGCCCAAATGACATGGCTGGACACTGCAATCAACAGAGAACATATTCGTTTCAGGTCTGTAAAGGTAAATGTCAGAGCAGTTGATAAACGTCCAAGGATACAAAATGCACAGAGCAACTTGCCTGACCACGATACAATTTGGATAGAAATCAGTAACAAAAGAGCTCACAAGTGCCCAAAGAATCTGCAATTTAAACAACAGGTTACTTTTGTTTTTGCCTTTGTCTTTTTGAAAGCAGGTCTCATTATGCAGTTCAGTTTGTACCACAGGCCAGCCCTGAACTCGTGGAGATTCTCTTGCATCAGCCTCCCAAGTACTGGGTAACAGACGTGACGCCTGGCCATTGAACAGCACATGCCAGGAGTGGGGGCACACCTCTGTAATATAACACATGCCAGGTATGGGGGACACGCCCACAATACAACATATGCCAGGTGTGGGAGCACATGCCTGTAACTCAACACTCAGGAGTTCAAGGCCAGCCTGAGCTATACAGCAAGACCCTGTGTCCAAGAATAAACAAAAAATATTTTGACCTGAATAAGATATAACATGCCACAAGTGAGGAATGATGCATATACAAGAAAGGGTTGAGAAGGAAGGGTCTGAGGATTCGCCTCAAGAGGCAGCCCCAGAAGCAACAGAAAAGATATTTAAACTGAAAAGAAATCAGAAGAAAATATTAAAGACCTTATATATACTAAAGTGATAAAAAGAAGACATTATGAACAAACTTTATGCCTCAAAAATGGGAAAACAAACAATAAGAACAAAAAGAAATTAAAATCAAAATAATCTATTAACTTAGTAAAATCTGTAATTAAAATATTCTCTTACTGGAAAGCCTATAGCCTGACAGTTTCATCACTGAGTTGATTCATTCAATTAAAGAAAAAATATATAATTCATACACAGTACAATGAACTATTTCAGAGAATACAAGGTAAAATCTAAGGAAAAACTAGAAATGAAAAGTATAGGCCAATCTTTTGAAAAGACTCAAAAATTCTATATGGATATTAAGCAAACTGAATATCAATGAGATATAAAAATAATATAAAAATTGAGTTTATTTCAGGAATGAAAAATGGGTTTAATATCAGAAAACCACCTAATGCAACTCAATCACATTAAAAAAAATCTAACCTCATCAACAGATACAAATTTCCTTAACATGACATCAGAGGATATAAGAAAGCTTTCTATCAACTGCCAGATGATGAGACACATACAGGTGACAAGTAGTTCCCTGTCCACGGGGTCAGTTAGTCTGGTCAGCCACAGTCAAGATAGATAATGAGACAGTGACAGACAGACCAACTTAGTGAAACTGTCTCTAAATAAATAAATAATAACAAAAAACTTCAAAAATGGCTATGAATGGAACTCAGTAGTACAATGATGTCCCTGAGTTCATACTTCTGGTATAGCTTAAAAAAAAAAGTTCACTAACACAAAACCCAACACAAAAAGCTAATGACGTTAGTAATGGGGCCAGGGAGGGTTCAGAACTCTCAGATCACTACCAGTCAGCATGCTGGACAGTGCAGGGCCCGGATGTGGGGCAGAGCCCAGCATCCCAAGGCCCACACCCACCTGTTGAGCTCCCGGATGGCGCGGAGCCTGCGGATGTAGCGGCGACAGCTGGGCAGGATGGAGAGGTGATGCGCGTGCAGGGTGAGGAAGAAGCACTCGGTGGGGAACTTGGGCTCTGAGAAGGGCGGCTGGTCGCCATCTGGGGGAGACAACACAACCCCCAGTGAAATCCACAGTGAGGCTCAACAGGAGAAATAAGTCTCGAGCTCTGCATTCACATCGCTTCCCTTAGCTATTTAACACCAGGCGATGGAATTCAAACCAGAGCATTGCAAAACGATGAACTGAGCTCGTGCCGGGAGCAGCTGAATCCCCGTGAGCTTCGTCTGTGACCAGTCTCCGTCCCTCCTAGTTAAATATTTAGGTAGATGTCCATCAGCAATCTTTTACTATGTGTGTCCTGATACATTTTATAAAACTATTCCCATTTTCAATACACAATTGTTAACTCTCAAAATGGAATTATACTAATAAGCTATTGAATCCACAGCCATTTCCCTGAGCATTTGTTTATTACTTTTTTTTTTTTTTTTTTTTTTTTTTTGGTCTTTTTCATTTTTATCGGTACCAGGGATCGAACTCCCGACCGTACACTTGCAAGGCAGGTGCTTAAGCCACTGAGCTAAATCCCCAGCCCCCCGTGAAATTTTTTTTTTCGTTTTTATCGGTACCGGGGATCGAACTCACGACTGCCTGCTTGCAAGGCAGGCACTTATGCTGCTGAGCTAAACCCCCAGCCTCATGTTTTTAATTTCTATTATAAATGACAGCCTAAGGCTGGGTGTGGAGGTGCAGGCCTACAGTCCCTGGAGGGTGAGGCAGGAGGGTCACTATGAGTTGGAGTTGAGCCTGGGCTATATACTGAGTTCAAGACCAGCCAGAACTACATAGCAGGACCCTATCTCCAAAACCAAAAACAGACACATGAATGGGAGAAGCTATACACAAAAATTACTCCCTGTTCCCCTAGTTTTGGAAATATACTCTGAAAAGTAAAATTATGGAGAATAATAGTATAACATGTTTTATTTTATTTCTAATTGGCACAAAGTATTATCTGGAAGGTGTGATGGATCTATTTACTATAAGCACACACGGACAAAGACTGAATCAGGGAAACTGGCAGTTCATCACCTCGAGATGCGCTTGGTCTCCCTGGGAGCACTCATGCGTCCTCTCCACTGGCAATGCTGAAGCACACATTAGTGGCTGACCAGAGTCACTCTGACTGGCTAGAGAACATGGAAATTACTTCTCTTGTCCATCCAGGCTGTGGTGTGTGCCTGAGGGACCATGAGCAGGGGACTGCTGGAGCGCATGAGTGCCCAGCCAGCCTGGGGGAACACGGTGACTCCTGGGCACAGCGGCTCACGCCCATAACCCCTGCATTCAGGAGGCTGGGGCAGGGGCAGCGCTGTTGAGTTCGAGGCCAGCCTAGGCTACACAGAAAGACCTTGTCTCAAAAACCAGACAAAACAGAAACCATCCAGCGGCACTCTTGTGCCCATTTAAGCAACCCCCTGAAGTTTAGGAGAACTTCAGTAAATTTTGTTGTAAGACTCCAAATCCACTTAAGATAGGTCAAATAAAGTGATTCCATACCGGCGGCTTCTTCACAAACTTTGTCACCACTGCCCTATGCTGCCATCTTGATTTCTACTCATTCACAAATGTGTAATGATAGCTTGAATTTCTTCAATCTGCACAATTCCTGGAGTAAGACGCCATTGTACCCAAGTATATTTTATTTCCTGTGACTTACAGAGGGTTGGTTACGTTTTTCCATGCCAAAGAAAGCTGCCTGCTGTGAGAATTCTGTGTGGCGCTTGCGCATTTGTGCAGTTCTAAGCACGGAACAGTGCGCCCTCGTCGGTCACGCAACACCTATTTCTGCTTATTTTACATGTTCATTTTTCTCTTACTCTATAAAAGCTATTAAGACATGTACATTTCTCTAATGGTTTCTTTCCCTAAAGAACTACTTTCTGTCTTTGCCAGATCCTGCTGTCTCCAGTTGGGCCCAATCCTCCATTTGATTTTCCCTTTCTCTCTTTTTCTAAAATATATCATGAACCCCCGGACTCTTTCAGAAGTCCTCAGCCTGCAGATGTGACTCCAGGATTACAGTAACAGTTACTGAAACGCCTGCCGGAGGCTGGTGCCCCGCTCCCTGGCCGCACTGTGCTGAGCAGGTCCCGCCAGCTGGGAGGCCACCGCAGCTGGGTGTGAGTGACTTCATGTACTTAAGAGATGGACGCCAGGGGGATCTGTCTGCACTTAAGTCAGGTTTAGGTCCTGAGAAGAACAGTGAGCAGCTGCACCTCCCACAGGTCTTATTTTCCAGCCCTCTGTTCATCAGCATCTGTGAACAGCTCACAAGCAGCAATGTCACCGGAGCACACGTGAAACCCGTCCTCTGCGTGGACGTGCCCGTGTGCCCATTTGTTTATTTCATCGGGTGGTTTTTATTGTGTGTCTCCGACTTGGAATGCCGCCCTGGGGAGTGCCTGTGGTGCTCTGCGGCCACTCAAGGCCCAGCGGTGACCGTGTTACTCACAGAGCTCAGCCAGCCACTCGTTCACATCCTCCATGGTCGCGTTCACGCGCGTCTCGTCATTGGAGAGGGTGACCCGACATCGAGGGTGGAATATATACGTGGGGTCCACTGTCTCTAACTTGATCTTTGTGCTCAACTGCTGCAATACCCAGAGGAAATTCAGCATAAATCCATCTGTGGATACCAATCGGTCATCTGTCTGTGAAGTATAAAAAATTCAAAAAGATTTGAGCAGAAAGTTTCACATAACTTACTAAGAAGGCAAAGAGACATTCAAACATGGCCACACCCTCGTCAGGAGCAGAGTCAGGCTTCAGCACTGTCTCCTAGCAGCAGGTGCTAGCAGTGGGTGTTTGTCCCTGAAAAGGCAGTCACGCATTCACTCGGTGAACTTTTGGAGGGAGCCTGAGGGCCGGTACTAAGTGATGCACCTTTTACAGTGGAGGGAATGCAGGCTCAAAGAACAAGCCTCCAGATTAAAAGCAGAAACCAACAAGTGTTGCTTCCTTTCTCTACTTTATTTCCCTGTAAAAACATGAGAACTAGAGCTGGGCACACAGCCTAGTAGGAGAGTGTTTGCCCAGGATGTGCAAGGCCCTGCGTTTGACTCCCAGCACCACAAAAAATAAACAAACCTCCAGGCAACTAACCCTATGTTACCATGTGACACAGCGTCAGCACAGCTCTGCACCCATGGCCTAACAGTGACAGTCAGAATGACAGCGCCCAGTACTAACCCAACAGGTGTGCCTACAGCAAAGCCACAGATTAGGTGTACTATTATTGCCATTTAGCAGACAGGGAAACTGAGGCACACCCCTGTAACTGTCTACGCTTCTACTTACAGTAAATGGTGGAAACACAACCAGAGTCATCATGTCTATGTACTTCCATATATATTATTCTATTGCTTCTAAGTGTCATATAGTTATTAATAATCTAGGAAGGATGTCCTTTTTCATTTAAGACAGGGACTCATGTGGTTTAGGCTGGCCTTGACCTCCCAGTGGAGTCCAGGCTGACCTCAATCTTGTGGTGACCCTCCTACCTCAGCCTTCTGCACTGTGAAGGTTTGTGCCGTGGCTTACACACAGACTTCGATGTTGGGCTTACACCAAAACTGGTTCGTTTCCACCTGGGAACCTTGCACACATTTAGAAGGCTCTTAGCCTTGCAGGGCTGGTTTTTATCAAACAGGGCTCTGATCAAATGTCACCTCAGAGAGACTGTCCTGCTCCAAGATAAAAAACCGCCCCACACCTCCCTTCCAGCCCTGTACAGCTGCTGGCAAGTCCTCCCTCTGCTTAATTTTCCTTGTGTCTACTCACTGACCCTGAGCACCTCGGCTCAGCACCCCGGAGCAGCGCCTGGAGAACAGTGACAAACACCAGCTCCGGGAGCCCTACCTGCATCTGTGCCTTCTTCATGTTGGCGTTGACGACAGCTGCCATGTAGCCGAGGGCGGCCTCCCGGGTCTCCCCATTTAACAAAATACTATGCAGAATCTTGAAGAGCTCTTGCTGCAGTTTTAAAAGGAAGAGAACGATTAACCTCATTTTGAACACCATTCCTTTTGTCCCCCTTTCCTTCCAGAACACTGGCCTGCTCTCTGTGCCCGCCCCACTTCCAGCCTTCCAGAGGGGCCAGCTGCAGGGGACGGAGGACCCGAGTGCACGCTTGGTGTGGAGAGATCAGCACATCACGCGCGTGCAGTCGGGGTTTACATGAACGCCTTTCACTCCTTCCCTTCCATGGCAAAAATTCCCTTCCTCACCCAAGCCTGCATTCTCTGCTTCTATGTTCAGAACTGAAGACATGTGAGTCTCCCCTCGGGATGAGTGGCTAGTGAGGGCTGTGTGCAGATTCACAGCTCACCACCTGCACATTCAACTGGCCACGCCAGGCACAGAGAGAGCGGAACCCTAAGGGGTTCTGTATGGGAGAACAGAATGGGAGGCACGCTGTGAGCTGTGGTTATTACTCAAGACCTGGCAAGCTGGGCCACGGCCTAGTGGTATAGAGCTAGCCTGGACATCTCCAGCACCACAAAATTTTAAAAAGACATCTGTTCCTTACATATATAGCAATTCCTCCTTTAAAGTTCAAAAGAATTGAATTTTATTTGATTGATTGACTGGGTATTTTTTTTTAGATGGTTGGCGTTCAGATTATGGCGTTCAGGTTGGCTTTGATCTCATGGCAATTCTCCTGCCTCAGCCTCCTGAGTGCTGGGATTATAAATGTTTGTTACCATGCTGGACTTCCAACTGACTTTCATAGCATTGGCGAACCAGGCAGCCTCCATGCATAGAAAGAAAGGGGCTCCCTAGCTACAGCTCCCCTCCCATTCCTGCTCACAGCTCCTCCTCGACACCCACCCGGCCCAGCTCCAGGTAGTGCTGCAGGGACTGGCTGACCACACGCGTGTTCTCCAGGGTAATGGCAGGCCCCGAGAAGTACTTTTCAACCACTTTAATCTGGAAAGAGAAGGGATACCGTCAACACACGACGCACAGCCAGGAAGGAAGTCTGAACAGACAGTAGCGAGGGTACGAGGCCACTGTACTTACGTCATCTTCGGCAAAGACCGAGAAGCTAAAGAAGGCTCCCAAGTAAGACAACCTCTGCAGCTCACGCCCGGAGCCGGGGCTTAAGGGCTTCGGCAGCCACAAGGGCAGAGAGGCGACCTGTGAGGACACGGGAGGGGCGGTCAAGCCGAGCGGGAAGGTGAGCAGTGGGGGAATGGACTGAGCCCAGAGGCACCTGCTCAGCACTGGGGCTGTCCTGTCACCCCAAAACACAGGCACAACTCTGTTAGGATCCCTGGTGACATCTTCTCACTCCATACAGAGGAAAACCCTCCAACTCCTACAATTTCACAAGGTACTCTTTGGTGCAGGTGGCATGAACCATTCTTACCCTGCCCAAAGAACCCAAGTATAAACTAGGATTTGTTATTCTAATTGTACAATCCTGATCCCCCCTCAAACAACAACAACAAAAAAAAAGTCAGAAGAAAGCAAACCACTTTGCTGTGGAAAACACTGTGCATCACAGCAGTTAGATAGCTGAAAGCTCCCAGGTTATAACACCTACAGGTCTGTCCTAATTTCCTCCCTGGAGGTCTTTTAGCTGATGTGACTCAGAGAACGGCTCTCACTGACGATGTGCACCTGGGTGAGGCAGGCACTTACCAAATTGCACACGGGGTGCGTCTTCCCAAACTTGGTTTCACAGAGTTCACCTAACGCCTAGGAATAAGATCAGAAAGCATCACATACGCATCACGTCTCCAACTGCCACAAAGGACTGCTTTAACTGCTGCTACAAATACCTATGCATTGTTTCAATGATGGTAACAGCTTTGTGATTTTTCCTACTTAATAAAACACAAACACATGTGCAATTGTAAAATTCAAACTTTAGGCTGGCGATTTAGCTTAGCATCACAAGCGCCTGTCTGGCAAGCATGAGGTTGATCCCTGGTACAAAGGAAAAAAAAAAAAAAAAACAAAAAAACCTCAAACTTTACCATCAGAAATAACCCCCACTGCTATTCTGATTAAGAACTTTCCAAGGACACTTCTGTGCACATATACAGGCTTAAAGGCAGACACTGATACGAAAGGCAAGTCTTCTCTTTACATCTTTCACATCAAGATTTAGTTCACAAACTTTCCACGGTTAGTCTTAGCAGTGCTACCCATGCCTGCACTGAATGCTTAATAAGCGGTCACATTGAGAACATGCACGAAGTACGACTCTCCTTCAGCACGCCACTCATTCCCACCTTAGAGGGCTATGGCAAACAGTTTGTGGAGATAATCTCATGTTGCCAAGATGATCCAACAAAACCATGATGACTATAAAGTGAACTGTCTCTGTGATGTGGTGCAGCTACTACTGAAGTTCCTAAGCACCCAGGGAAACTTTTGGGTCAGTGCATTTAGGCACTGAAGCTGCTCTGGGAGCCGGGGACACTCAGGGAGCCGTGGACAAGTCCAAGTCCTCATGGGCTTTGTTGCACACGAGGGTCACAGGGGAAGCCTCAGAAATCCCAATCCCACTGGCATGGTGGCACATGCCTGTAACTCAAGCATTTGGAACACTGAGGCAGGAGGATCCCTGTGAGAGCAGGGCCACCTTGGGCTACACAGTAAGTTTAAGGCCAATGTAGGAGATTCGCTTAAAAAAAAAAAAAAAAATCCCAACCCCATGCTGCATCCTCTCCTATTCAGTCACAGAGCCTAAGGCTAAAGTTGGACCTCAGGAGTGTGAAAGGTCCCAGCATGGGACACGGTAGGGTCCGACAACCTAGACAACCAGCCCAGCTACTTCTGAACTCATCTCCTGCTCTCCTCCTCTTCCTGCCTCTCTCCTTGGGCTTCTGTGCCCACACTCCATTATTACACAAGAATCAATAAAAGCCCCAACTAAAATTGCTGGCTGCTACAATGCAGGCTTTGTCTCTTACCATGGACGCTCTGTTGACATCTGACACTGAAAGTGCCCTGTTGACACACGGCTAATTCAAGCCATAACTTAAAAGCCAACAATTCCAGAAGAAATATTTACCTAACACAGCGATGATTAGCAGCATCTAAAATATTTCCTGGCTGAACATTCTGCAATCCGATTAATGCTGCTTCCTGTTCTGCATGCAGAACAGTAAGGATTCACATGCTTTTACCAGGAACCTGAATAACATGCACAAGGCAAAGAACCCTGGCATAAATCCACCCAAAACTCTTTCTAAGAAGAAGTCCTGCTTCATCTTCCAATTTCCCAACTGTAACATTACCTTTTAGCCTGTTAGTGTTATGGTAGTTTTCAGTTATTTTTTTGTACCAGGAATTGAACTCAGAACCTTGGGCTTGCCAGGCAGGCACTTAGGCCACTGAATCATCCCCAACCCAGTAGTATGGTTTTTTAAAACACAGAAATGTCTGCTGGTATGGTGGTGCATAGGTAACATCTTAGCAGTTGGGAGGTTGATGCAGACCTGCCCAAAGGCTGAAGCCAGACTTGGTTACTTAGTGAGTTCAAGGCCAACATGAACTACATACAAAACCCTGCCTCAAAAAACAAAAAACAAGGCTAGGCGTGGTGGCGCATGCCTATAATCCCTGCACTTGGGAGGCTAAGGCAACAGGATCACTTTGAGTTTAAGTCTAGCTTGGACTACAAAGCAAATTCAGGGCCAGCCTGAACTGCACAGTGAAACCATGTCTTAAGACCACCCCCCCAAAAAAAAGCCCCCTTGGCATCTACCTCGGTGTCAGCTTTTGTCACGGTGTAATTATCTTACTGCTGTGCAGTGATTTCCTTTTGTAGTAGATGCTGAGGACCTGATCTTATGAAATCCCGTGTCTCAGCACCAGACACAAGATAGATTTTAGGGTGGCATTGAGTTCACGGTGTGATGCAAACCAGTCAGAAGAATAAGTGCAAGCAACACATATAGTAAAATAAAACCAATTCAACCATGGCCTCAGTTTATCAGGTTGTATCACTGGTCATTCAAGAGCTGCACAGTAAAACAACACTGAGATTCTGGCTCCCTTCAGAATGGCCACCATCAAGAAATGAACCAGAGGCCAGGAAGTTAGCTCAGCAGCATAAGCCCCTGTCTTGCAAGCTCAAGGTCATTCATTCAATCTTGGGTACCAAAAAAAACCAAGCAAACAAACAAAAACAAGATATCAACCAATAGCAAATGCTGGAGGTGCTGTGGGGAAAAAGGAACCTTCTCCATTGCTGATGGGCGTGTAAATTGGTACAACCACTATGGAAGTCAGCGTGAAGGTTCCTCAAAACACTAAAACTAAGGTTCCATTTGACCCAGCTGTTTCCCTTCTAGGTATCTTCCGAAAAGAGTGAAAAGCATCGTACCACAGAGAGATACATGTACACCCACATTTATAGTAATTCATGACAGCTAACTCTTGGACAGCAAGACATGACAGCCCATCAACAGATGAATGGATATAGAAAATGTGGTTTTGATATGCAACAGAGTACTGCTTTACATAAAGAGCAGTAAACTGGAGTCATTTATAGGAAAATCAGTAAGTAAAGTAAATCAGACACATGAGCTTAAATATCACGTTGTTTCTCTTGTGTGAAAAATCCAAAGCGCAAGTGAAGAGCATGAGAGAGGACAGACACTGCAAAGTAGGAGAATGCGTTTAAATGGGAAAGGGAGCCAGGAAGGCAGGAGATGGGAGGGCAAGAATGGAAAAGAAAACAAAGATAATGGAAGGAAAACAATGAAGGCTTGTGCAAGGGGAAGGGAAAAAGGATCACAGGGAGGAGAGGAGGATGGGTATAAAAAACAATGAAGATGTATTAAGCAGGTACAGATTTCCTATGGTGAATGTGATAGGTAATTTACAACAAATACGTACGGATAAATAAAACAAGCTTACCATGTTGTATATAAACATCAAGTAAACCAAATTTATGTTCCAACAGTTTTTTTTTTTTTTTTTTTTTTGCACCAGGGATCGAACTCACAACCTCACACTTGCAGGCTGGCGCTCATGCTGCAGAGCTAAATCCCCGGCCCTGTTCTGACAGTTTTTCCCTTCTAGAATTAAAAATACTCAGTAATACTTCCAAATGCTTTTACCCGCAGTTTAAAGAAGCAAACTCAGCACAGAGAAGAGCCTCCTCAGTTACTGTCGCGGGTGCTCCCCAAGAGCCCAGCCGAAGGTTCCCATCCACGCTGGCCTGCAGCACGGAAGGCGCGGCTGCGCACACTGCTGCCCAAGGAAAGGCAGCAGAGGAGGCACACGGAGATGGAGAGTTACTCCCAGACCCGCTCTGCACACTTAATCCATAAACCGTACTGCTTTTCTTAGCATACTGCCTTGTTGTGTTACTGATTTTCTTTTAATGAAATTTTATCCCAATTATAGCACCCCATTGTTTGGAAAATTGGCAGGGCAAAGGACGTTTGAACAGTATAGCACTGATGCCTAGGCCCAGGAAGCGGGGCAGGTACCAGGCTGGGTTTTATTTTGTTTGGTTTTGTTTTTTCTGAAGCAGGGTCTTGCTGCCTAATTCAGGCTGGGCTTGCACTCAAGGCAATCCTCCTGTCTCCACCCTGAGTGGTGGAATTACAGGCCAGCGCCACCACATCTGGCTGCCCCCATGCTTTTTCTTGGAAAATAAGGTTGATCTGAGACCTGAAAGAAAACTGTAAGTGGAAACAATTTGAAAGAAAAACAGCTATTGACTATAATAAAGAAAAAGGTTTTACCATGAGGGGGTACTTAAAGTAGTCACTATCCAGGGAGCATTCTTTGGCAGCAAGAGCCAGGCCTTGCAAAATGGGGATAAAGATCTGTAAGACAAAAATCAAAATGACACACATAAGCTTATGGAAAATGTGGCATGAGTCGCAGGTCAAACAAGTTACCGAGCTAAGTATCCAGGCAGCGCCACTCCTCCCGCAAGGCAGAAATCTGTCTCGGCGTCACCCAACCTTGAGGTGATGGGTGACGCACTAAGGACTCTGAGGAGCCTAACGCTATGACAGAACCCAGAGAGGTGGGGCCACTGAGGGCCTCTGCAAGACTGGCCAGGCCACGCAACCACGTTCTGCTCATCTCAGCGGCTGTGTCCCCTGCCAGCAGCGTCTGTTACCGGCAAAGCAACTGGGCTCAAAGGTTCCAGTACTTTCGCAGCTCTGACAGTATCTTTTTTTAAAAAGTCCTTGTTTATTTTGAGGAAAACAAGAAAAACAGATGAATCATGGATGCTATTAATCACCTCAAGAGCAAAGAGAGCTGATAATGGTCAACTGAAAAAGAAAGCTTGTGCAAGAACCCTTACCTACATCCAGAATGTAACTGATACAGAAACCTGGTGCCACCCTTGCGGCTGAGCACATCCAAATGTACTCTGAGATCACTGTTACTCCCGGTGAACACGACGCTCAGCCGCCCTTTGAGCTTCATACTGCACTTGCTGCGCACATGACAGGCACTGGTTTGGATTCAAGGCTACTCGCATGAACTAGAAAATGCTAAGGACAGCAGCTGACAAGCTGACCACCAACAGGCTGGAAAACTCCCTCTTACTAATTTATCCTCATCTCCCAAGAACCTTCATCATTTAAAGTCCTGTAGGACCAACAACCAGCCTTACATTCCGAGTGTCTGTGGAGTGCCTTGAGATATCTGCACCACCCTAGAGGGTATCCATTAATTTTTGCAACTCAAAACAACCAGGGAATAATGTGCTTTCGTAAATGAGTTAAAAATGAACAGGTAACTCAGGCATGGGTATGTGCAGCACCAGAATTTTTAGTCACAAAGAAAAGCAAAGCAGAAGGTTCCAGAACCTCAAAAATAAATTTCACAAATGGCACTCTAGATAAATCTTTTTACTTTTTAGGAATGATATAAATAAAGTATCTGCATTGTTACTAGTAGAATTATCCTCTGGTGCTGCGACCCACGCGGCTCTTGAGGTTCCTGGGTTAAAGGACCGTGAGAGGATGAGAAAATAAAGAAGAGCAAAGGCTGGGTCAGCTGGGGCCCTACTCTCCTGAGGGAGGAGGGCACTGCTTAGTCACTATGGCACCTGTGTTTACATACGTCATATACTCCTAAAGAAGGATGTCGATTTCAGCTCCACTTCCTAGGGACTGGTCTGCCTGGCAGGCCTGGCCCTTGCCTTCTTGCTGCTGGAACAACTTGTTTACATAGCTGGCTTTGGTGTCTCTGCTTTCTGGGCTGGTCTTGCATTAGCCCCACACATGTGATCAATCTCCAGCTTCAACGGCTCCCTACACTTTTGTCCAACTCATTTATAAATTTTTTTTTTTTTTTTGTCTTTTTCCTTTTTATTGGTACCGGGGATCGAACTCACGACTCCCTGCTTGCAAGGCAGGCGCTTCTGCCGCTGAGCTAAATCCCCAGCCCCGTCCAACTCATTTATAATAGACAAAATATGACTAAGCATAATATTTTCAAATACACAACTATTATGCAATTTACATGACCTACTTTTTTTTGGTGGTTCCAGGGATAGAACTCACGACCTTGCACTTGCCAAGCAGGCGCTTATGCCTGACTGAGCTAAATTCCCAGCCCCATGACCTACATATTTTAAATGATCCTCACTTTCAAACAGATGCCTCCCAAAACTGATTTTAAAAAAGTGCTGTAACTCTTTACCTCGCATCCTAAATTCTCTTCATTTTTAGCACAATCCTGAGACAGAAAGTTGATAGGTTGTTTTTCAGTTCAGCACCTACATCTCACTGTTTCTAACACAAAACTGATGGTAACAAAAAAGAAGGGTTATGACTGAAGGGCTGAGCCACGTTAGCAGACAGCTATAATCCCAGTTATTCTGGAGGCAGAGGCCAAAAGGGTTGTAAGCTGAAGATCAACAGGGCCAGCTTAGCAAGATCCTATCTCTTAATTAAAAAAAAAATATGCCAGGTGTCATGGTGTACCCCTGTAATCCCAGTACTAAGGGGAGTGAGGCAGGAGATCATCACAAGTTCAACACCAGACTGGGGTACACAGCGAGTTCAAGGACAATTTGAACTATACAGGAAGAAAAAAACAGGAGCCTAGTGTGCTGGCACATGCCTGTAATTCCAACACTTAGGAGGCTGAGGCAGGAGGAGGACTATGCTGAGTTCAAGGCCAACGTGGACTACATGGTGAGACCTTGTCTCAAGAAAACAAAACACGGGGCTGGTCTCAAGAAAACAAAACACGGGGCTGGATATTTAGCTCAGTGGCATAAGCGCCTGCCTTGCAAGCAGGCAGCCGTGAGTTTGATCCCTGGTACCGATAAAAAAGGAAAAAGACCAAAAAAAAAAAAAAAAAAAAAAAAAAAAAAACCACAAAGAATTTCATGATTAAAAATAATTGAAAAAATGGTAATATTTAAGTTTTATGGTGATTGTACAATACTGTTGATTAGACTAAATTTCAATGAATCATATACTTTTATTTTGTTGAGACAGCGCTTTGCTGCGTAGCTAGGTTGGCCTCAAACTCACAGTGATCCTCTCCTCTCGCCTCAGCCTCCTGAATGCTAGGATTATACATAGGCTTGTGCTACCATGCCTGGCTCAGTGAACCGCACACCTTAAGACAGGCATACTAGGCCCTTTCTGCTGATCCGGTGAACACTGCGGTGGGTCCACCAGGGCCAGTGCTCAGGGTGGGCGAGTATTCTGGTTAAGGCCCACTCCACCTATGAGTATGCTCTACTCACACCTCCCAGAGTGGTTCTGCACTCTCCTCGGGGCGCACTCCTCCTTGTGAAGAAGAAAAGCTCACTGTGATATTCCTGGCAGCCAGCAAGGCTAACTTTGAAGATAAGCAGTTAACAAATTCCAGACACTAATGTCTGTGCTCGAGTCCGGGATTATTCTTTTACAAAAACTTTCTTGAATACTGCGAAAAATGAAACCCTGAAAATTCAAAGGTCTTAAAACTGTTTGACACAGAACGCAGCCAAAGGTATCATCCCGACTCCAGCAAATGGCCTCTGCGGCTCTTCAGTCACAAAAAAGGAAATGATGAGACAGCAAATTTTACCCAAATTTTATAAAAACCCTTTCAAAACTGGAAACTGGCCTGGGGATTTAGCTCAGCGGCATAAGCGCCTGCCTTGCAAGCAGGCAGTCATGAGTTTGATCCCTGGTACCGATAAAAAGGAAAAAGACAAAAAAAAAAAAAAAAAAAAACCTCTAAAAACAAAACTGGAAACTGGTGTGCGAACACTGCTGGGGTGAAACACTGGTTTTCCCACAAAGGGAATCAGACAGAGATTACCTCGCAGGAAAGTCCCAGTGTGAGCCCGCTGTATGAGCAGAATCTCGATCTATCCACATTTCCGTCTGACTGTGTGAAGGGAGGGGCCGGAAGAGGGTACGGACTGAAAGGCAGAGTTGAATAACAGGACCTAAGAGGGCTTTCCTGGAATGGTGGTTAGAACACAGGGACCCTATGTGACACGCAGACTCATCTGGTCATGATCTCATCTGGGCATTAATGGATCACTGCCACAAATTCAAGAGAAATGATTAAGCACTACTCGTGGTAAATACACGTGCACCCCGCCTTATATGCTCTCTTGCTATTCTTGTATCAAAAGCTCCTTCAAACTGGGTGTGTGGTTTTTATACATTGTCTTCTTCTCAAAGCACTTAGCATAGCGCCAGACATGGTGGCACATGTCTGTAATTCTAGTACTTGGGAGGCTGAGGCAGGAGGACTGCTGTTAATTTGAGGCCAGCCTGAGTTACACAGGAAGTTCAAGGACAGCCTGCACTGCATACATATATAAATAGACACACACACACACACATAGTCTGAAAAGACAAAACCAAAGCAAAACAGACCAAAACACCCAGCACAGACCCTGTTTAAAGACTCAATGCTTGACCGACACTGGACACAGACACACACACTGCACAGCTCTGCTGTTGGTCCAGTTTCCTCCAGAAAAGAGTTCCAGGCAGCACTTCTTGCTAAGCAACTGCACGTGCAGATCTGAGCAGACAGAAGCTCTCCACAGAGGCCTTGCACCCAAGCAGCAGTATCACAGGCATACCTGCTTAAAGACGTCCTCGTCCTGGTGAGTTGTCCTCACAAGCTCCTGCATGAAGCCGTAGGGGAGATTCCTGCACAGCATGTATGGCACAAGGAAGGACGGCTGCTGCATGGACCTGCGGAGCCAGAGAGCCAGGATCGATACAGAGTCACCGCCGTGCACCACACAAAGGCCCGTGACTCGGCACGGTGACCCTGAGTGCCCAGGCACAAGACAAACCTGAAATCTCCAAAGATATTGCATGACAGTTTTAGGCAAAGGATAATCTTTCTTACCATTTGGTAAGCATTTCTTGGGCTTTTAAAAGAGATACTACAGTCAATTTCAAAGATTCTCTCTCTATATAGTCTTTTACAAATGAATCATTAAACTGAGCATGGTGGTACACGCCTGTAATTCCAGCACTTGGGAGGCTGGGGCAAGAGGACTGCAAACTCTAGTCCAGCCTGGGAAATTTAGAGACCTTATTTCAAAGTTTAAAAATTAACGGGTCTGGGGCTACAGCTCAACACAGTGGCTCTGGGTTCAGTGGAGTATCACAAAGAAAAAATACAATGAATGAATAAATAAAAGCCATTATATAATAAAGCATACAGCCGGGTGTGGCAGTGCTCATCGGTAATCCCAGCACTCAGAAGGCTGAGGCAAGAGGATTGTTGTGAACTCCAGACCAGCTAGGCTACAATGTAAGCTCAAGGTCAGCCTGAACTGCATAGCAAAATCTTCAAAGAAAAAAAAAATGCGTAAAATGTTCCTTTTACTTTTCTGGCTTTTGTTTTGTTTAAGATAGGCTCTTATTACATAGCCTAGGCTGGCCTCGAACTCACCTCTTGCCTCAGCCTCCTGAGTGCTGGTTTTACAAAGCCACTATACTTAGCTCTTTTATTTGTTTATGCCTCATCCAAAATGGGGGGAAGAACCCCCCCCCCCATTTTAGGTGGCCTTTATGGTACAGAAAATAAGGCCATCAAGAAAAAATAAGAGGGGCTGGGGATTTAGTTCAGCAACGTAAGCACCTGCCTTGCAAGCAGGCAGTCGTGAGTTCGATCCCCAGTACCAATAAAAAGGAAAAAGACAAAAAAAAAAAAAAAAAAGAAAGTGTAACTCTGTTGTTTCTCCTTTAGATATTTTTGCATAAAAGAAATTAAATATATGATCTTTCACTAGAGTTGTAATATTTATGGACCTTTCAGAAATAAACAATGTAGCACTTAAAGCAATTCTCAATTATTCCTTCCACCTCTATTCTTCACTCTTTGATCTTTTATTTTTCTGCTTTTGGTTTCTTCAGACAGGCTCTTGCTATGTAGCCCAGGCTACACTTCAACTCACTGCGTAGTCCAGGCTGGCCTCCAATTTACAGGCAACCTCCTGCCTCAGCCTCCAAAGTGCTGGGATTACAAGCACGGACACCTCCACTCTTTATTACTAAGTAACAGAGACTGGGTAATACACGAAAGTGAGGGCCTATTCGCTTTATCAAATCCTTCCATCAATTTCAAACTGGCCTTAGGCTAAATTATTAATTTTCTGCATACAATCTACTTCAAAAAGTACACAGATGTCATCAGACAGAACTAATTTCTTTTTAAAATATGTTTTGCACTCCTTTGGAAGATGAGGAAGAATTCAATGTTGCTTCCTTGGTGTTTTAGAGGAGGGAAGGATCTTGGATCACTGATCAAGCCCTTTAACCTTCCAGGAGAAGAAGGAGTGTGCAGCAGAACCAGGGGACAGCCCGATGGCCCGGGGACCTCCAGCACCTTCAGCCAGGCCATGCTTCTTACCTCGGCTGCGTCAGCGAGCCCTGCAGCACCAGCGCGGTGTGGGATATGCACTGCGAGCGGATGTTGCTCAGGAGCTGGCTGACTGCTGGCTGGCTGCACATCTGCAAAACAAAGTTGGCATCAGGATGGGGGGCGAAGAAACTGGTGCTCCTAGAGCTGAGAAGGCTCAAAAGAGAGTGACAGCTGGAAAACGGCACGTTCCGCTCTTTAGCAGGGCGAGCAAACCACATCCACAGTCAAAAAGAAGAGAGCGAGGAGCTGGGTACATGCTGTCTGCTTTCGCTAAGGTCAAGTATGACGATGCCCCAGGAGGCCCAGGACAGATGCGAAGGAGACAAGTGACCCCACAGACTCATTTCCAATGAAAGCTAGAAGTAGACCATGAAATAAGAGCAAAAAGAAAATAAGGGAGCCTGCTCCAGACAGCAGAAAGGTACAGCTCCTTCAGGAACTGGGAGCATCTATGAGCCAGTGGGCGAGGCGCGTCTGCTCACACTGAACACAGGAAGAGAACTGCACGCAGGAGAGGGCTCTGCGGGACTCAGTGACCATTACAACGACTGAAGTTTGTGGTGCCTCAGCGGAGCACCAACAATCTGTGGACGCTCCAGAACACAGGCTGCTAATGTTACCGATTTCACTGGCAATGGTCAGGGCTAAGTTGGCAGCAGCACTGGAGTAACAGGGTAGACCAGAGAGCGGGCTTGTAGCGGGCCAGCCATGCTCTGTGCTTCCTCCCCTCAAGAGAATGTGCTCTTCCGGGAGTGGGGTCTCTGCTGTGTGTGTGTGGCACACACACACGCTTCCTTGGGTCTTTCCGGGCTGAGTAAATGAACAATCAGCAAACAAATAACAACTCTGTGTGTTACCTTTGGTGCTTTTTTTTCTTCTATTCCAACTCGGTCAAAACACTCAATGAGGTAGTTCAGCATGTCTGTCTCCTTGCAGGTTTCAATGGTGAAATGGTCGCTGTAGGAATCCCAGTTAGACGCTCCACCACCAGAGGCTCCCAAACTTTGGAGAAGAGAAAAATAAAGGTGGTGATGCTCACCCCTTTCCCAGAAGTTGGGTTTCTGCAGCAGAAAGCATGTTAGAATCCCTGCACAAGGGACAAAGCACAAACACTCATGCAGCCCCTTGTCAGGGCAACAGCTTGCTTCTCTGTTCCCAGCCCAGTGACCACAACTGTGGGTGAACATTTTATAGACCTAAGGTGGGGGCCTTATCTTACTGGGGGTGGCAACTTACAAAAACAGAAGGCCCAAGTATTATTCGTGAAAGCTAAGCAATTGAGGAGACATCCCAGGTACTCAAAAAGTTCCTCTGCCAGACAGAGAGGAAAACCAGACTGTGTGACGGCCACAGTCCAATCCCTTAGGACAGAAGTCCCAAGGGACCTGAGGGATCTCTCCTGCCCTCATAGATTCTAGCACAGATCCACAAGAACATCAAATAGCATTTGGCAAGAGGACCAGGGCTCAGGGAAAGTGCCTGGTTAAAAACAACACAAGAACATATTTGCTAGTACCAAAAAAAATTCCAAACCTTCCAGCATAGAGGGAAATTAGCACTAAATGTAATATAAGCAAAAATCGGGCACTAGGGCGCGGCAGCCCTTGCTACCGGGGTCCAGTGCCTCCTACAGCGGATGAAAGTGAAGCAACGTGACACTGCTTCATCAGGGTCAGTGTGGGCCAAGAGAAGGAGCATCACTACTTGCAGGAACTGATCTCTCAGACAGAAGCCAAATGCAATCATAAAAAGTTTGGTTTGCAGAAATTAAAGTTACAGCCAATCACGGGTCATGTAGCGAATAGGGCATTTTGCTCATAGACTGATCTGATGTGGATAAAATACACAAAGAGATTAATGGAGGTGCAGGGGAAAGTGAGGGATTGCAAAGTGAGAAGCTAGTGCCTAATGCAGTAAAAGGACTACCCAGAGAAAAGGATAAAGGACAGGAAAAATATTAGAAGCGTGAGAGGTACATCCCTACCTCAGCCAAAGGTAGACAACTAAAGGCCAGAAACTAAAAGGACCAAGAGGATTTCAGGAAGCAACAACATATGATAGAGCAAGACAAACATAAGTGACTAATTTTTAAATATATACAAATAGCTGACCTTCAAATTTGGGTCAAATATGCATAGCTGATGTTAGAATGAACCCATGATGTTAAAATATTTCAGTGAAGGATGTGAAGACAATGCCACATTTTGTTTTTGTTGTTGTTTTAAAATAGCTGCTCCCTTGGCTGGGTGTGGTGGCACACACCTGTGTACCCAGCTCTTGGGAAACAGAGGACTGCCTCAAATCAAGATCTTCCTGGGCTTCACGTGAGTTCAAGGTCAGACGGGGCTCCACAGCAACCTTCCTATGGAGCCCAGGCTGGCCCTGCACTTGCGGGAGTCCTCCTGCCTCAGCCTTCCAAGGGCTGGGATTATCATAGGTGTGCACCACTGTGCCCGGTTCATCAATACCACCTTCAGGTCCAAAGCTCTCAGTTCAGAATTCATCAGGTCTGAACTGCTATTAACGACATCGAGGCCTGGGAGAAGGAAAAGGAGACCAGGCTTGGGAGCAGTCAAGTCCCCGTCCACTGAGCTGGTGACTCATTAAACCATCTCGCCAGAGCCATGGCGAAGATGGGCAGGTCTGCACGGGAGCCCTAAAAAGCAGACAGATTCGTTCTCATGCCTTTACAGCAGTTTTTATGTTGGCACATTTTATTCATTAATGGCAGGATTCAGTATCTGCGATTATCAGCCCGACAACAAAAAGATAAGCAGAGAAACAACACAGAGGAAAACTTCATGGAAGCACAGAACATGAAACCCCGTCACCAAACAGGGGAAGCGAGGAGACTCCTGGAAAGCAGAAAGAGAAGGCAGGCTCTCTTCACCGCGGCTCCGAGCTTTGAGCTATCAGTGCTGCCTCCCACCTCCTGGTGCCGTCTGATGGCAGGCTGCGAGAGCTCCCTTATCCAGGGAGAACTCTGCTGTCGGGCGTTACGGGGCAGGAGTCGAGCTGCTTTTCCTTGGAGCATGTGTTACGGGTGCAAATGGAAACAGACCACTCCCATGTCTAAATAAAAAAATTTAAACTATGTGTTTTGTTGAGAGTAAGCCCCATGTTTCCTGCATTTCTGAAACAGGAGGCTTCTTACATAGCCTTGCTGTGCATAAATAAGAAACTCACAGAGAGAGAAACTGGGGAAACAACACCTTTCACAATAACATTAAAAAACCTCAAACACCTAGGAATCAATCTAATGAAGAATGTAAAAAAACCTCTACATTGAAAACAACAGTACTTTAAAAAAGGAGACTGAAGAGGATACCAGAAAAATGGAGATACACCATAGTGAAAATGGCCATACTTCCAAAACTGTTATACAGATTCAATGCAATTCTCAATCAAAATTCCAATAGCATATCTCACAGAATTAGAGCAAACAATCCTAAAATTCATTTGGAACCAGAAGAGACCTAGAATAGCAAATGGAAATCTGGGCAGCAAAGGCAAGGCAAGGGGCATCACAATTCCTGACTTGAAGTTATACTACAAAGCTATTATGATAAAAACAGCGTGGTACTGGCAAAAACAAAACAAAACAACAACAACAATCAGACTCAAACATCAATGGAACAGATTACAAGATGCAGAAACAATTCCAGACAACTAAGCCATCTTGTTTTTGACAAAGGTGCCAAACACATTTACTGAAAGATAGCCTCTTTAATAAATGGTGCAGGGAAAAACTTCCTCGGCACATGACAAAGGTTAAAATCGGACTCAAATCTTTCACCATACAATGAACTAAATTCAAAATAGATCAAATATCTAAATAGTAAAAACAAACATTAAAAAAAATTAAGTCTGCGGGAATATACAATAGGTAGAACACTTGACACTGGTGTAGGCAAAGACTATGAATAAAATCCCCATCACACAGGAACTATCACCAGAATCAACAGCTGGGATTTCATCTTATTAAAAAGTTTATTTTAAACAGCAAGAGAAACTACCAACAGAGTGAAGAAACAACACACAATGTGGAAAAAAATTTTTGCCAGCTGTTCTGCAGGCAAAGGCTTACTATTAAGAATATACAAAGAACTCAAAAAAAATCAGACTTTCTGAATTTAAAGACCCAATCCAAAAATGGGCATTTCGGATGAATACACCCTTCTTAGATGAAGAAATATGAACAGCAAATAAATACATGAAAAAATGTTCAACATCACTGGTCACTCCAGAAATACAAATTAAAACAACACTGAGATTACACCTGACCCCGAAAAGAATGGCTGTTATCAAGAAATCAACCAATAACAAATGCTTGGAGGGGCTGTGGGGAAAAAGAACCCTTCTCCACTGTTGGTGGGAACACAGACTGATACAACCACTGTGGAAACCAGTATGGAGAGTCCTCAAAAAACTAGAATTGGAGGTACCATTCAACCTGCTATTCCCCCTCTGGGTGTCTTCCCAGTAGAATTAAAAACATTGTATCACAGCAATAGATGTGCACTCCCGTTTATAGGAGCATAATTTGTAAAAGCTAGATCTTGGAAACAACCCAAATGCCAATCAACCAAGGACTGGATAAAAAAGGGTGTGATCCTTTTATATAATGGGAGTATTACCTCAGCCATAAAGAACGATAAACTGGAGACTCACAGGTAAATGAACGCAACTGAGGACTATCTATACTCCCAAGTGAAATAAACCAGACACATCTATGTAAACACTGCATTGTCTCCCTAGTGTAAGAAGCTGAAAGAGTAAATAAGACTGAAAATGTACAATAGATATTGTAAAATGGTGCAAAAGGAAAGAGAAATCGGGATGGGGAATGGAGAAAAGGAAGAACTGTATAGATGGTTATGATAGTTATACTACTAATGTCTCTTACTTCATTGAAATGAAAGGCTTGTGCTAATACTGTTTGGACAATTGAATCCGACTACCTTGCATTCTTAGTAACTAAAAGATAAGGGGGCTGGGGATTTAGCTCAGTGGAAAAAGCACCTGCTTGGTAAGTGCAAGGTCCTGAGTTCGATCCCCAGTTCCAAGAAAAAAAAAAAAAAGATAACAATACGCAATGCATTAACCATTGTTACCCTCTTACTGTCTTGCTTTCAAATTATTTTTCTTTAAAAAAAAAAAAAAAAAAAACTGGATACAATGGTCAGAACAAGACAAATAGTCCAGGGAGAGGATTTCTCCCACAGAGAACTCACAACACAGATAAGTGAGCACTTTGCCCATGTATGGAAAGCAATTCCCAAGAAAGCTGCCTGCTGTGTAACTTCGATCATGCAAAAGGATTTACAGACTTGAAAAGGACACTCCACCTTTGAGAATTTACACGGCAAATGATGACAGACTGTTCAGCCAAATTCAAATATCGACCTTACTAAACTGATATCCAACCTCGTGCCAACACCTCTCTCTGGGCTCTCTGACGGCTCTTCTGCTACTGTGAATTTAATGAAGAAAGTGGCCCTAACTGCTGCGCCAGGCCCAATTTATAGCCTGCGGTTATTTTTGAATACTGCTAGGCACAAATACCAATTCTGTCCAAAGGAAACTTGGATTTAACAGCAAAATTGTAAGACAGTTAGGAAGAAGGTCAGAGAGAAAGGGCTGTATTTTCCTGTTCAAAGTCACCTAGGAACCCAAATGACACTGTTTGCTGTGTTTGCAGGAGGGAACATTTAGCAGCACTCCAGGTCCTTTAACCAAGCAGTAAGGACATGGGGGAATAAACATGTGTACCTCCCACCCCAAGCCGCAGGCCCTGTCCTTTCCTAAATTCCAGAAATCCATGCAGCTGGACTGAAGGAAACAAGCCTCTCAGGGTACATTCTGCTCACGATCTATTGGTCACAAGAATATTGTTTGTCTGTTTTGAGACAGGGTCTGGTTGTGCAATTGAGGCTAGCCTGGAACTCATTATGTGGCCCAAACTAGCTTTGAACTTGTGGAGACCCTCCTGCCTCAGCTTCCTAAGTGCTGGGAATACAGGCATGCACTACCGTGCCAGGAAAGAACATTACTGTAATAGAGAAAGCACAGTCCCTCGTTTTAGACCTAACAGTAGGTGAGCCTGATGAATGGCTGTGAATCTGTTTTCAGGCTTCTCACAAATGCTTCCAAGTAAGTTTTTCCAGAACTGACTGGATGACACCTATGAGAACTGTCCCATGTTCTGGGTCCACCCACCATCCCACCTGAGCTGACACTGTCCTGTTTGGGTAGAAAAGCACACCCCAAGGTGGGCTCCCAGATGTTAGTTCCTACGCACCAACACACATGCAGGTAAGAGTCCATTCCTCAGATACCTGGACCCAAACTGGACAAAAGGAAAATCATCACCACCACCACCACCTTCATCATCACCATGACCATCATCCTCTTCGTCTTCTTCATCACTACTGTCCCCAGAAAGCGGGAGGAAGAGGAAGGAGAAGGGAGTGTCGTACATACTACCGCACAGAAACAAAAAACGGGTATCAGGGGACAAAGATCAAACAAGAGCGGGGAGAAGTTTTAGCATTTACTGTCTTTTTTAAAATATCATAACAAAAAAATTTTTTAATCATATACTGAAAGTTGGGTCTACTGCCATGCAGAAAAATAATGCACCACGATTACAGCAACACATAGGTCCATTTAAGAGAAGGCCCGGATTCATGCAATTGGAATACCACTGTTTTCTAACTGCCTACAAATGCATGTAATCAAAAAATCACAGCACTGGGCCGGGATACAGCTCAGTGGCACAGCACCTGCCAGGCAAGTGCAAGGTCCTAAGTTCAAGTCCCAGCATAAAAAACAACAACAAAAATCAAAGCGCTGAGGCAAGAACAGATCCGGCTGTACACACCAGGAGAGGACGAGAGGCCCCAGACTTGTCCCCAGCTCCTACATGTTGGCCCTCATGGGCACAGTGCAAGCCATCAGAGTGATTCTCCGAGCCCCGACTCCCAAATTCAACGCTGACCACATTTTACAAAACTCATGATTGACAAGGGGTGACACACACAGTAGGTTGCTAACACCAAGGTTTGTTCTTTCTGTTTTGGTACAGCAAGGAAGAAGAGCCCAGGGAAGGAGAGAAGAAAGGGATGCATCGAGAGTGACCCCAGCCTTCCGGTATGGTCAGCGCCTGGCAGCAGGGACTCGGGGAACACACCAACCACTCTAGTTAGCCACACAGGTTAATGACCCAAGACACCTGAGTGCAGCTGAGGTCAGTGGCACACACCAGGTCTTGTGAAGCGTGTTAATTGTGCTTTCCCTGCACTGCAAACACATACTTGCAGTTCACCTGCAGGATAAATACCTAGGAGATATCCGCAGGGAGGAGGGACGTCTGCTGGCAACACTGGGCGAGACGGGTGGGACAGCTGGGCCCAGGCTTGGAGGCCTCGGTCTGGAGGTGCCCGCTGGGGGGCTCCCCGAAAGGGCAGGGAGGGCGGGAGAGCCAGAGGGGATGGGCAGCGGGACAGTGCAAGGTGGAGGCGCCCCTGGGTGTGTGACTGTGTAGGGCCGGTAGCGTGGGGACAGGGACAGTGATGAGGGCTGGCTTCCTGCTGCAGATCCAGAAGCTGCTGTGTGAAGGCTGAGGGATACACGGGAAGGGGACGTGAAGGATGGACTTGCCCCCGGCCCCGAGCCACAGGGACCAGCAGCAGGGGCTGGGCTAGTGTCATAGAGGCTGCAGCAGGTGGGAAATGGAAGAAAGAAGAGAAAAATCAAAGAAAGACTTGAGAGAACTGAAATGGACACCTGCAGGCTTTCCGGTTCCTCAGAGTTCAGGTATACAAATCAGATAAGCATTTAAATAATCTTACTCTAATTGCAACAGCGATCTTGAGGTGATGCCAGGTTCCCTTTGCAAGAATAATGCAGTGTGTGCCGTTGTTTGTTTCTAACGCTAACCTACCCACAGCCCCGACCATGAAGCCGAAACACCATCGAAAGGAGACAACACAGGCCCCTCCGAAGACTACCCGCCATGCCGGGGACACAGGGCAGCCCAGAATAAGGGCCTCCTGCTCCTCCCAGTGTCTTACAAGGGCTGAAGACCTCACTGACCTAGACAGAGAGCTGGCACCGAAGGAGCCCAAGCTGCAGAACATGGGGCTGGTTCCAGGATTGGAGCTGGGATTCAGCAAGAGATTTCGGTCCGGCGACCGAGCAGCTGCTGCGATAGGCTGGGACGTAGCAGTGAGGCTGGCAAATGGGTTTTCATCTCTGGTCTGAGTAGACATCATGAGCACTTCCATCAAGATCTGGCCAATCAAGTCCTTAAAATCAGAGAACACTGTCGGGAAGGCAGAGCAAAGAACAGATTACACATGGTGCTTCTGGGACTCAGTCCTCGAATAAGCCTGCAGGGACCCAAGCAGCTCACTGGGGTGTCCTTGCCTGGGTTCTGGAACAGCAAAAGCACCCGCGTGGAAAAGCTGATGAAACCCAGATATGAACTGGTATTTGGTCTCAGCACTTTCCCAGTGTTAGCAAACATAGCAGGGTTATAAGAACATTAGCTTTCGGGGAAACCAGCACAAGGGTACACAGGGCCTCCGTGGACTGTCTTCCCACCTTTTCTGTGGATCTAAAGCTACTCAAAAAGTTGAAAATGGGGCTGGGGATTTAGCTCAGCGGCATAAGCGCCTGCCTTGCAAGCAGGCAGTCGTGAGTTCGATCCCTGGTACCGATAAAAAGGAAAAAGACCAAAAAAAAGAAACTGGAGTGTGGTCAATGAGAGTTAATATATACTGTAGATATCTAACCATAAAAAGAAGTTCCTCCTGACTACAGAGGTCAGTTATCAAACTGCAAACACTACTGGGTTAATATGTCTCAGCCAGTATATCTTTTATATGTAGTAAAACTACCAAGTCCAAGGTTCAAAAGATTTCATGAAGGGCCTGATGTTTAAGCCCATCTGGCTTTCTGGAGCTGATCTACAGGTCAGCTTCCTTATTATTCTTCATAGCTTCAAGCAGATTTATTGTTGGTCATTAGACATATTCGAAATATCACTCAACAAAAGTCTTGTTCATTATAAATTTTACATGATTTCATTATTAAAAATTATTATCTGCATGTGTGAGACAGGTTTGAGTACCTTAAGATTTATAGGAATAGCAAATAAGCCAAGCATAGTGTACACCTGTAATCCCAAAACTCAGGAAACTGAGGCAGGAAGATCACCACAAGTTCAAGGTCAGCCTGGACTATGTAGAGATTTCAAGGCCAGTTGTCTCAAAAAGAAAAAAAAAAATCCTTAGTAGCAAATGTTAAAGGAGTTCGCTGTATTCTAGTGATAGGTGCATAGCACTCCAGCACATCCCTACCTGACCTAAAGAAAAGCCACGCAACCCTAGATGGCTGTAACTTGCTACAAGTTTTATTATGTTGTCGTATGTGTGGCTCCGCATAGCTAACCTCTTATAAACACTTTGCCGTGGAAATACGGCAGAGTGTCGGTATCTCCCATCTTCTAAGCATCTGAATCAAACAGAATTCTGCCACTGCCTGAACGCAGCCTGGCAGGGTGGGAAAGCAAGTCTCGATCACACATGGCACCCCTCTTGGGGTCCTTGGGGACCACAGAAACCCTCCTTCTACGAGGAGCTCCTCCCTCCCACAGCATCCTCCACTGCAAGGGAAAAGCTTCAATTGCTGAGATGATGGGACCCATGAGCTGAGATATGGACAGGAGTCATGAAATCGGAGACTAATTCACATCACCGCAGGCAGTGTTCTCACTGTTGCAATCAAAAGCAAACCTCAAGGCAAGACGGAAATCGTGACACAGACAAGCACAAGCGCTCGGTTCCCAGGAGTGCCCTGAAGGACAGCGCTGAGCCAAATGCCTACCTTCTTTTGGGTTCTGCTTGAACTGTGCAGAGAGAGAAGAAAGGAAGATGACGTCTCGGTCCCGGTCCTTCCAGGAGACGCGGAAGATCTTACAGACCAGCTGCAAGGCCTGCTCTTCAGACACTTCAGGGCCCGAGGCAGGCTCCTGCAGGAAGAGGACCCACGTCAGTCGCCACTGGAAGGAGGTGGCAGGACAGCTTCACTCAGACTGAACTCAGACATCAGGAAGGATATTTTTTAAATGCATAAGACCATTCACCCACTGACCCAGACAGAAGGGAGCCTGTTACTACGACCTCAAGGTCTCCTGAGCTTATAGAGGAGCAGAAAAGAACAAGAAGACTGTCAGGAATCAGAGGGAGCACTGCGAAGCAGGATGCACACAGAGCCTGTCTCCTTCCCTGCAGGGGTCCCCACCCCTCGCCAGTCCGTGGCCTACTGGGAAGGGGAAGCACGGCAGAGGCTAAGGGCCGGCAGGGAGGAGTTTCCTCCACACTTAGCAATTCCCGCCTGAGTTCCGGCCCCTGTCAGAGCAGGGCACCAGATCTCACAGGGCCTCCCCCCAAGTGTGAACTGCACATGTGCAAGATCTGGGCTCCCTGCTCCTTTAAACCATGCCTGGAACATCAGCCTTCTGGGCTGGAGACCTGCTCCAAAGGACCATGCTCACCCTTCATGTCTACTCTTTTCCCCGTAACTTCATGTTTCTCCTCACGTTCCATTCCAGGGCAAATATCACATAAGCCTCTTTAAAAAGGGGGGCGGGGCTCATTGCTTTGAGCACCAATACATCCTATATCTCCCTCTAACAAATCTTTCTCATGCCTCGTCAAAAAACAAAAACAAAAACAGAAACAAAAAGCCCCACTCTGTAGCCACTGAAGGAGCACACAAACTAAAGCAGCGCACTATCAGAGGGCTACAGTCGAAGTGTCGCTAGGAGTGCTCCTGAACCGGGATGGGGTTTAGCTCAGCGGTGTAAGTGCCTGCTTGGCAAACGCAGTCGTCAGTTCGATCCCCAGTACCAAAAAAAAAAAAAAAAAAAAAAATTAAAAGGGGATTTAGCTGAATGGCAGAAGCGCTTGCTTGGCGAGAACAAGGTCCTGAGTTCGGTCCCTGATACCAAAAAAAACAGGAAAAAAATCTCAAGGTAGAAGAAGTACTCCCGAACTGTACTCAACAGCAAGTGATGTGGCCACCAAAAGAACCAAAATGAGCCCAAAAGCCCTGGATTTAGAGAACTATGCTCAGGAGATAAGAAAGACCTCATCATTTGGAAATCTTTTTACTTGCTACTGGATTTTACATATCCTGGTTTTAACTTCTCCAACATTTCCCTCAGAAAGCATCCAAAAATGGGATGATCTACTGACTTTAGTGAAAAGCCTACAGAAAGCTTAGTTCCTGTTACAAACTAAATTTACTGATAAGACCACAGACCTGAACCAAAGGAAACTGAGGAATTTCGCCAGGTTAAAGGACTGAGTTACGCAGCTGCTGCTGCTTCAGAAGAAAAATCTACTGACGTGAATGTGCTGGTGAGGAGCCCCTCCAGCCCCCCACAGACCAGACAGCACCCCGCAAAGCTACCACCCTACTCACCTTGTCGCCAAGGCTCCTCTTCTCTCGTCGGTCATTCTCATCAACCTCCATGTTTTCAATTCCTGAATCCACATCCACCTGGGACATGCTGTAAGGAGGAAACAGCGTGCTTTGGCCTTGTATGAGACCCATGTCACAGCTATACAGAGCTTTAAGGATTGGCTGAAACCAGTCACAAAAGCAAAATGACAAATATTCGTTCTTTTGTTCGTATTAATTTTAAGAGCTCCTCGTGTGTTGGGATACCAAGAGCCTCTCTCACATATATTACAAATATTCCCCCCAGGGTGTCATTTTCTCGGGCTTACCTTCAAACAAAAAGTCAGGAGAGCAACTTCACTGGATGTATTATTTTAAAATAACACCAAAAATAACCAGAGAATGAGAACAAAGCTGGTTAAGCAAGTATTTTCCTCCCAGTCAGGTCTGGTGGCACATCACCTATAACCCCAGTACTCAGGAGGCTGAGGCAAGAGGATTGCCATGAGCTAGGCTACACAGGGAGTTCAGGGCCAGTCTCAATTACACAGTGGGACCATTTCTCCAAAAAAAAAAAAAAAGAAAGAAAGAAAGAAAGAAAGAAAGGATTCCCACATTAAATAAGTGACTGTCCAGCACCGTTTACTGAAAAGCCCACCCTTTTGTACAAAAAAAAGAGAAGAAAGCAAGCGCCTGTGCCATGTCTGTCACATCTGTGTGATGTCTACTTTGGGTGCTCACTTCTGTCCGTCAGCTGGCCTGTCTGCGGTCCATCTGAAACTGCCCAGTCAGAGCCTCCTCTTTCTACCCCAGAGCTGGCCGTCCCGGCCTCTCCTCTCCTCCTCCACACGGCAGATCGGCAGCTTGGCCAGCTCCTGCCTAGTTCTGCTGGTGTCCTGCCCAGAACTTTCCTGTCCTCAGAGATCAAAGGCAGGACAGATGACATCATGATGTTCCTGAGTCCTTTTCTCTGTGTATGTTCATGCCTTCTTCAAGGACTTTCAAGAAATTTCACTTTCAGGGGCGTCTGCCTTGCAAGTGTGTGGTTGTGAGTTCAATCCCCAGTACCGATAAAAAAAAAATTTTTTTTTTTCACTTTCTCCATGAAAACCTTGTCTTCCTCTGCTAAATGTATTCTTGGGTATCAGTTTTTAATGAAAATGGAGGTATTCCCCCCGCCTTTCTTGCAGTACTGGGAAGTACTGGCAAACCAAGGGCCTTCACACTGCCCTACATCCCCAGCCTTACTGACTGACTGACTGATACCAGTGTCTTGCTAAATCCAAAATGATGCAGGCCGTGCTCAGAGGGTTGGGACTTCAGGTGTGCGCCACCATACCCGCTGATAGCATTTTAAAAACAAAATTTTCTAAAGTTGTTGTAGCACCTAATAATATAACTGATTTTTAAATACAGAGAGTTCAGCTCTTGTAAGCAAGGTCTACTTACCCATAAAGTATATGACATACACAAATGAGACTTTATCTCCAACAGTGACTGTTTCCAGTCTTTTCATAGTCTCACTGAACTGGCAAGGCCCACAGCTTGGACAGAGGCAGAAATATCAGTATTCCTGGTTCTAATTACTAAAACAAAAATTTTTTTTTTTTTTGTTAAACCTTTTTGAGACAGGGTCTTGCTATACAGCTCAGGCTGACCTTGAGCTCCCTTTGACTTTGTAGCCAGACTGGTCCCAAATTTGCAATGATCCTCCTGCCTCAGCTTCCCAAGTGCTGGGATTACAGGCATGTGCCACTGCACCCCGCTTCTACTTACTAATTTTACAGAGACTCATTCTAACCACTAAATGTGAGAGTGCTGGAGTTTTGGGTCTCACAGCCCTTCAGGGAGCCAGAATAAGACATCAACACTGTTCTAACACACACACTCCAGGGGCTTTGGGGTTTGGCTCTGTTAGGGTCACTCTCTGGCTTGCACTAAGTCTGACAGGAGGGAAGCAGCCACTGCAGCTCTGGTCTCCCCGGCTGCAGCACACAGCCAAAAGGTTACTGGGATGGAGTGTGAACCAGGTGGGCACCGGCTTGCCTGCCACTGTCACTTCCACTCAAGTCTGTGGGACATAGCCAGGTCCGTGGTCCCTGTCCAGCACAAATGGAGGCTGGGAGAGGTAGGGAGCTCGCGGACATCTGGTGAGCCCCATCCCTGCAGTGCTGTGGTTTCCTTTGCCTTTTATCTTCCGTGGTACTGGAGATGAAACCCAGGACCTGACACCCTTCACAGAGCTTGCGACACACTTAGCTCCACCCTGGCAGCTTCTCCCTCCATCTGCTGAGACTGTCCTCATGGATCAGCTCGGGGTTCTCTCACGCTCACAGGATATTTTCCTTACTACACAACCCGGTGGGGGCCATACAGATGTCCTAATGCTAACGTGCACGCGTGCTCCTGCTCTAAGCTCACCCTTATCACGGCATACCCCACGACTTTTAGGGGAACTTGTAACTGGAACAAACGTGCAGAAACATGCATAGGAAGGTGTGTGGCTGAATACACTGCAGCAAGGAAACATACAACTTAACCAGCACTGGGGTCAGAAACGGAACATTGAAAGAAAGAAAGAGAGAGAGAGAGAGAAATGAAACATTATCATACACCCTAAAAACCCCCTAACCCTTTTTAATGGTTTGCACGCTGACTCCAGTGTTGACATCTATTTATATATTTGCAGGTATTTGATTTGTCAATATCTTCATTTAGCTAAAAATAGTTTGTGGGTATGATTAAAACATAATTTTTCCTTTGATATTAGTCTTGTCTGACTTTAGTATTAAGGTCACATTAGCCCCACAAATTGAGTTCAATGTTTTCTATGCTTTTAATTATCTGGGGGGGGGGGGATGTGTAAATTGGAAAAGAGATTTTTAAATACTGACAATGTTATTTCCTGGGTTTTGATTATTTGGCTTCTCTTTCTTGCTGAGGCAATTTTGGGGAGAATGATGTCTTCCTAGAACTCTGATTTACTCCCCAGGATTTTAAATTTACAGGTATTGTGCATATTCATATTTTTCACATGACTCTCGGCTTCAATAACAAGCAGTCCTGGGCGTAGGCAGTGTTGTAGATGCAGCAGATCCTGCTGCTGTGCAAAAGAGACTGAGAGAACCGCAGCCTTACAGAGCTCACGTCCTGCGGAGGGACGGGGTAATAAATCCCCACCACGGTCCAACAGCAACACACGTGATATATAAACGAGAACTGCTACGAGCAAATGAAACCAAGAAGGTCAGAGAAAGGCCACAAACAACGCACGCCCTTTCCATTTAAGTGGAAATTTGTAAATTTTTCCCAAGTAGTCATTTCCTTGTGCTAACTTCAAAAAAGAAAGCAGATCCTCTCTCTGAAACCTTGCAAACTTTGTTAACTCAGTGATCAGTGAAACTGCGAGAAAATGTTTAGGGACAGACGTATGTTTGCTCATTTTGTAGTTACAAAATAAAGACACTGGAAAGATTTTAAAAACCCACAAGCACCATTATTTCATAAAAGACATATCTGTTTTGTTTTGAGACAGGGTATCACTATACAGCCCAAACTGGTCTCAAACTTGTGGGGATGGGATCCTCTTACCTCAGCCTCTTGAGTGCTGGGATTACTGTGCTTGGCTATTTCATAAAAGACATTTACTAACAAAACATACATAAAGAACATTTCAGAGCAATATGAGGCCCTTCAAGCCTAAGAATGTGGCTGTAGCTTGCTGCAGACTGGCGTAGGTCTCAGGCGTGCGTTTTGGACTACTGGGTAGAGACCACAGCGAGCAGATCCTTTCCTTTCTACAGGGCGCTGGCTTATCTTACCTCTTCTCACAGGAGACGCCGTCGATATCCATGCTCTGGGAGCGCGACAGAGACTGAGACTGCGTCTCTAGGCTGTTGGAGGGTGAGCTGCTCAGAGAGCTGACCCCCTCACTGCTCTGGCTCCGGTGCGCGACTCCTAGACAGAGGGCAGAATGGTGAGGCCCGGGATGGTGACAAAGCCGTGGCAGCGATGCCACTGTGACACCCACAACACAGGAAGTGCCCATGCATGAAGCTCAAGGCTGAAGCCATGTTAAAATCATAACAGGAGGAAAAAGCGTATTTGTTGTCCTGTGAGGCAGTAACAGTGACATCTGATGCCTAAAGGTGACCACTCCTCGGCTCTCTTTCCCCAGTTCAAACTCTGGTCCCTGATGCAAATCAGTGGCCCCATAATCTACAACCACCTTCGACACACACCCAAAATGACATGCACTAATAAACAGGGGTGTAATTAGCCACAAAAAGGTGGTGGTGGTAGAATCCAGATGGGGTACACAGAGGTATTCATCACAATATGCTTCCAACCTTGCCACACATTCGATATTTTCATAATAAAATGTTGACAGGTGCAAACAATCTCAAGTAAGCAATCTCCTTTAATAGGTTTCAATTTATTGGTTGAAGATTTGGGGAAAAATAATAAATCAACATTGTCCTTGCTCTTGTAGGGCTTATGGTAAGCTCCAAGATTTAGCTATTACAAGCTATTCTGCTATAAACATGGGTATGTATGATCACTGCAGCAGGAGATCTGTGACTCTTTGGGGAAGTTATCTAAGGGTCAGGTATAACTGGGTTCCAATTTTAATTTTTTGATAAATTTCCATAGTAATCGCCATGGTGGTTACACTGGTTTACATTTCACCAGCAATACAGAAGGGCCCTCTGCCCTGTATCCTCGCCAGCATTTGCTACTACTTGATTTCTTGATAATGGTTGCTCTAGGAAAGTTTGTCTTGGTTCAAGCTTTCTGAGGGTGCAGTCCACGCTTTTTTCTGGGTCAGTGGTGAACAGAGCACTATGAGTGAGCTGCTGGCACAATGAAACCTTACTGCCTGGCACCTAGGAAGCAACAGGAGACAGAGGGAGAGTCAAGAGCCCTAACACTCCTTCAGGGGTATGTCCCAGGGACCACCACTTCTTTCCCCTAAAGGTTGCTCCACTTCCCAAGAGTACCACAGGGTGGCATCTAAGTCACCAGCACACAGCCTTAGGGTCACCTCAGATCTCACTCTAAGATGGTCTGAAAGGAAACGTGCATATACATAGACTGAGTTCCCAAACAACAGTCGCCACTCTCCCTAACCCCACTCCACTCCCAATAACTGTACAGACTGCATTTTACAATTAAGTATTGAGGTGCAAATTTACCAAGTACAATAGGGGTTTGGGGTCACTTGATAAATGTATGTTTACAGCCCCAAATGAATACCATTAGTGAACTCTGAGACTTAAGATATTTAAATTCTGAGTACCTCGGTTTGTCTACCTATGCAATGATGGAACCAAAGGAGAAATATCTCTATACCCTTCCAGTTCTATTAAAGTTAAACATTATGCATACAACTATTTTTTTTATTTTTTTTTTTTGGTCTTTTTCGTTTTTATCGGTACCAGGGATCGAACTCGCGACTGCCTGCTTGCAAGGCAGGCGCTTATGCCGCTGAGCTAAATCCCCAGCCCCTTACAACTATTTTTTTTTAAACTAGGCTGTCTATAACAAAAATCTAAACATTGAGCCAAGCGTGGTGATACATGCCTGTAATCCCAGTACTCAGGGGATAGGAGGCTTGTCCAGGAGTTCAAGGCCAGCCTGGACTACATAGCAAAACCTTGTCTTATTAAAAAAAGAAAAAGAAAGACTAAATATTGACCTAGCATGGTGGCACACACCTGTAATCCCAGCATTCAGGAGGCTGAGGCAGAAGGACTGCTGTGATTTGGAGGCCAGCCTGGGCTAGCTATGCTCTACTTCCTTGCCTCTAAGTCTTTTAAATAAATTTGTTTGCACCTCTCCCAGAAAAACACACGGGGCCTTCCCCTAAAATTCACTTGCCTTAAACTCCAATCAGGAGACTGGGGAAAGATGACCGGGCTACTCCCGCATGCCCCAGGCAATGCGGCCTCCCTCCTGCACACTGACTACACTGGCAATTAGGTAAAAGAGAAATGGAAGGTAGTTTCTCTTTTCCCCACTCCAAAATGCTCATTCTACAAAGATAACAAGACAAATGCACAGAAAGCTAAGGGCAATTTCTGTGGCACAACTCTACAGGTCATGGGCCTTCTATGGAGAGGACAATGACTGGCCAGGATTACAGAAGATGCTCTGAAAATCAGGTCATCAGGTGACATCAGGTGACAGAAGAGGGTGGGGCCCAGTCACAGAGGACCCTGAAAGCCTGGCACTTTAGCCAGAAACGTAGCCAGCGCCACTGTGGAGCAGGTGAGATGACAGGCCTTGGCTCTCCTGAGCTGCTGCTCCCGAGGACCAGGGATGAGTGTCACAGAAACTGCCTGGCAGGCAGTCCTCCCGCACTCTAGCTACACTTAGAAACACGAGCAAGGGCGAGAAAGCAGCACTGTGATACACACAGCTCCTGACCTCCATGCAGGCCAGCAGCGAGCAAGCACCGGTACCAGATCCAGGCATGGGATACAGCCGGGCACGCAGCAGGGGCTGCGGGCGGCAGCAAGGGAGGGGAGACGACTCTGACACCCAGCAGGCCCCACCTGTGGCTGGTCAGACCAGACACAAAGTAACCTGCAGGCCGGCACTCTCACAGCACCCTTTGGCAGCCACAGGCCCTTCGGGCGAGAGAGTAGCCAGGCTGGCGAGGATGCACTGCCCCTGCCCCTCAGGAAAGTAAATGCACGTGGGAGAGCAAAGGCCTTCGGCAGCAGTGGGATCCCCACTGCTCAGTAGTCTTTTCAAGACGCCGCTGCAGGCCCGGGTTTGGAGTTTTTGCCTGCGCCTCTGCTTCCAGCGCCTCTAGCCAGATTTAGAGGGTGCTGCTGGGGAGCAAACGTAGGGCCTCCATGTGTTAGGCAGTCACCCTACACCTGAACCACACCCAGCCCCCTCTTCAGTTTTATTTTGAGACAGTCTTTCTCAGTTGCCTCAGTTTGCAGTTCTTCTGCCTCAGCCTCCTGAGTGGTTTGGACTGGCCAGCTCATTTCCTGCTCTCCCTGCATGATGTACCCAGCCCCAGGCAGCTCTTAGCTCACCCAAGCCTCCCTCTCCTACGCTGTGGATCACGCAGAGGACAGAGGAAGAAAAGGACTTTAACACAGCAATCAACGACAGAACCAAAGTTTATTATTTCACCGTCAATCAAAGCATTCCTAGCCACAGATAATGTACAATAAAAGAATGGTTTTGATTTAATTCAAATTCCTAACAAGCAATAAACGTGTTCATTAGGCTCAAATCGAGAGCTGGATGTGGTGGTACCTGCCAGCAATCCCAGCACTCCGAGAGTGCCGAAGTAGGATGATGGATCACAGGTTCAGATCCAGCCAGGGTAACTCAGCAACTCAGCAGGGCCCAGTCTCAGAACTTTTAAAGGCCTGAAGCAGTAGCTCAGTGCTAAATGCTCTGGTTTCAATTTCCAGTACCTCGATTGATCAACCAACCAATCAATCAGTGGGGGCACAGAGATGGAGCCCGGTACGAAGGCCCTGCGTTTAGTTCCCAGGACAGAGCAGGAGGAGGAAAATAAGATGACTGCTGTCCCAACCCCCTTCTTGCCCCAGGACTTATGCACCTGGTTTCCTCCTGGTGTGAACTTGGCCTCACTGGTTCCCACTTGGCTCTGCTCCTCGCTTAATTCAGGTCTCTGCTCAAGAGGTCCCCTCCTTGGGCCTCCAGCACCTACCTTTAAAGCCCACTGCTCTCTTGGGGGCAGTGAGTGCCCCCTGACAGGGCGATGGGCTTTTGGTAGGTTGTTTGGTCTCACCAAAATGTAAGCCACGTGGCCTAGGACAGGAACTAACATGAGAGGATTTAAAGGAATATTAAATGAAGACGGCATAAATGATGGCATTTAGTAAATCACTGATAACAGCCAACATATGGAACACATAAAATGTAACACTCAAAGTTAGAGGACTACAAATAACGATTATACTGGGATATGAAAGGATTTTCCTATTTTCAAAAGAATCTTGTTTTGTTATTTATTTATTTTGGGGACACTGGGGATCGAACTCACAACCTTGTGCTTACCAGGCAAGCACTTGAGCCACTGCACTAAATTCCCAGCCCTCCTGTTTCTTTCTTTAATATGCAATGATTTATCATGGCCACCATTCAGGACAGCAGATGACTGATGCTTACTCCTCTCACTGATTTCAAATTTTGTACCTTTGGCCCCTGTCTTTCTTCCCATCCGCCTCCCTACCTGGGGTACGCGCCATTCCCTCCCATGAGTACCTTGTCAGCTCCCGCCTGTAAATGAGATGGTGCAGAATCTGTTTTTCTGAGCCTAGCTTATGTCCCTGAGCACTGCACCCTCCAGGTACATCTGCCACTGGGCACCTGGATCACACCATCATTTGCTCATCTGATAACAGACACTGAGCTTGTTTCCCACTGGAGCCACGTGTGTGGTGCTGACTGCGGTTCCTCTGCGGATAAACCCAGATGTGCAAGTGCTGAATCACATGGAATCTATTTTAGTTTTCTAAGTGTATTATTCACTTGCGTGCTGGGACAAAATTCCTGAAGCCCTCCCCCGCCCTGCACCAACTGAAAGGAGGGAAGGTTTACTTTGGCTCAGTTTCAGAGGGTTCAGTCCACAGTGACTGGCTCCGAGGTAGACTCCGCGCAGCGGAACTGTGGGGCGGTAGACCACCACTCACCATGGTAGGAGGACGCGGAGAGAGGGGAGGAGCCGGAGAAGGAGATGAACCCTCCAAAGACCCCAGGTGATGCACATCCTCCACCTGGGTCCCTCTTGCATGGATGAATTCATCAGTGACCACAGCACTCCTATGATCCAATCACCTTCCAAACACTAGAGACCTGGGGTCTCTTACACACCAAGAAACCTCCGTAACATTACTGTGTGCCTTCCACAATGGCTGTATTCATTCACATCCTCGGCAAGGGGGACTTTTCATCTCTTTTGT